TTTTTTTTTTTAAGTCAAATCAATGGGCTAACAAGTTTATGTATGAGCGCAAGATTCTAACGGGCTCTCCTAAGGGAGTGGACAAATGCGTTAAAATTAAATGTGAACTATACTCCTCTTCGAGGAGTTCTGAGGCCTGCAAGCCAGGCGAATGGAGATGTACTACTCTGCCGCAAATGCGGCCGAGAGTCAGGAACCCCAGCTCTTGTACTGAGAAAATGTCCGAATAACACACTCCTCGTCACCCACTTGCACAATAATGTAAAGCATCGAGTTGCCGAATTCTTGGAAACGAATGTTTATATGCTTCCTAGAAATGTATTGCATTGATACGGAGGCTCAGCGAGATTCGTATGTATCTTAGCCTTTAATGCAGGAAAAGAGGCTCTGATAGTTAATTCTACTATTAGATTTAAAACAAAAGATGAGGATCAGGATCTCAAAGAAAAAAAAAAAAAAAGAAGAAATCTATAAAAAAAATGCATACCGTACCTGATAGAAAATTTGTATTGATTCCAAGTGCTTTGTTGTGGATTCAACGGACAGAAGAGAGGGAAGAAAATTACACAAAAGTTGTAACAGTGAATTAATGAATTATAACTTTCGGTATGGTGGATGATGTTCCCGCAATGCTTTATCCTGTGTTCTCTTTTGTTATATGATATCGATTTTGACTGCAGTGCTGAGTGATTTAGCAATAGTCGAACAGCCGTACAATTTTTTTGTGCTTTTCTCAGATCTCATCATTTTTATTTTAGATTCTTATATACGTATGCGTAAATAAATCTTATATTTTATCTAGTCAGACATAATGTTTTTTTTTTTTTCAACTTTTCACCAGTTTAATACCAAAGAGAGGAAGGTGTAAATTTTTTTTTTTCAAAATATCGCCAGCGGGATTTTAGCACTTACAATGTGCTACAAAATGGAACTCGTTAATTCCTTACTTACTTACTCCTCACCATTAAAGTCCACTAGAAATCTTGGCCTTCTCAACAATATGTCGCCACTCGTCGCGGTCCAATGCGACAGCCCTCCACCGCCTGCCACCAAGCTGTCTCGAATTCGCCTCAACATCCTCCGGCCTACGGAGTGGTGGCCTTCCTCTCTTTGCTCTTCCAGGTTGCCCATATATTATTTTGCTCGGCACTCAGTCCGCTGTCATCCTTTCCACATGACCCAATCATCTTATACGTCCTGCCTTAATGGCTCTGACGAGATGTGTCCCTGTAGAGTTGTCGCAACTCCCGGTTGTATCAGGACCTCTAAACACCTTCAGATATAGGCCCATAAATCCTTCTAATTATCTTACGCTCTCACACTCCAAGAACCCGCTCATGTTTTGCTGAGATAACCCACGTCTCGCTTCCGTATGTGACTACCGGACGAATCATAGTTTAATAAATTGTCAATCTGGTATTCCTTCGGAGACTTCAAAATCTAAGTAGTCACTGTATGGCATAAAAACATCGGCTTCACGCAGCGATCCTGGCTCCTTATGTCGTTTTCTGCCGACATAAGGGATGCCAGGTACTTGAAATCTCTGCATACTGAGAACTCGTGTTGCCTGTGCCTAGTGTTCACTATATGATGAGGGCGATGTCTTGGACTCTTTTATTTGTAGACCGCGAGCTACTGCAGTGGTCGCAAATTCCTATAATGTACCTGCCAGCGCTGAGTGCCCTTGCCACAATCTCTACGTCATCTGCGTACGCCATGTGTTGTGTGAAGCGGTCAAAGATGGTACCTTCTTATATATATATATATATCCCTTGCCACCTTCTCCAAGGTCTTGTTAAAAAAGGGAATAGCCTTGGTGCATCATTCCCGAAACCAGAGAGAACTCCTCAGACAGCAATCCTTGTAGTTTGACTCTGTATCTGCCATAGTCATTTTTACAAAGCGGGTGAGCATTATAGATCCATCCAGAGAGGAGATCCCTCATCAAAACATGCGTATCCAATGAGTCGTATGCCAGCTGAAAATCAATGTGGAGGTGATGCAGGCCAACCTTGTATTTCAGTGACTCCTCTAGCACCTGTCTGGCGGTAGAGATCTGATCAATAGTCGATCTATCTTTCCTGAAGCCACAATGAAATTCACCTACTTCCCTCTCCATGTTTGACATCAGTCTCCTACCAATGGCAGAGGATAGTATTTTATAGCTATGCCTCCATAGTTCCTGCACTCCAGCTTGTCTCCCTTCTTACAGATTGGGCATAGAACCAACACTTTTCACTCATCTGGGATCTCTTCTTTCGTCCATAAATAAGTTTAATTTAACTTAATCCATTCCTAAAATCAGCTAAGTAGGACTTTGACAAGGCATACTTTATATGCTACAAAAGTGAAACTTATTTGTTTTCCCAAAAGTAAGATGAGCATGATTTTAAGGATCTTGTGAAAAACAGTCATGAAACTTGACACAAATACATATTTTCAAAAGTTAACTTGAACCAAAACATGTCTAATTTGTTTGTAAACTATTCTACATATACGTGATAAATATTCAAGATGTATTAAATTTTCTATTTTATTGTTTATGTTTAAAAAAAACTTCAGCTCTTTTGAAGATCCACTAGTTTGGGTTGAAACGAATGTAATAATAAAAACCTAAAAAATTGAATGCGTTCTGACTATCCCCAAAAACCATGTCGAATGTTAGATTTTCTTGCCTTCTTCCAATATTGCAAATAAACAATAATCGTCCTTCCAGATTTCCTATTAGAGTTCGGAAGCTTAGTTCCTCATTATTGTAATAATCTTCAACTATGTTCACATGATCATTCCCCCTAAATATTGTCTGGTCTGCTTCTTATTGAAGAGCGATTTAGTCCTCATATAATATTTATATATATTTTTAAGTATTAAAACAAAACTTTTTAATTATTGAACGAGCGTATACAATTATGATTCAATTTGACCATTGACATTGCATGAGTCGGTTTTTATGTGACAACTACCTAGTGGAATAAAAAGATATTGGTGGTTCACAAAATTCATAATATGCAAAAAAAACATGGACAAGTGCATAAAACAACGCAAATTAGACCATGTCAAGGTTGGCTAAATAACTATCTGTGACATGAATACTTAACAGCTCCAAAAGCCTCTGTAAAAAAAAAACATTGGGAAGCTGCATTATAAAAATGGAGGAAATCAAGACAATTAGATAAAGAGAAAGAACTTGACTCATTTTGCTGCTATAGAAAAAGAAAAAATATATATACAATTTTAAAAAAAAAACACCAGAAAATTTAAAATGAAATGACAACTACAAGGACATGTTTGTAGAGCACATCACCAAAAATTTGGTTTTCAAACTAGTCCGCTGTCTCAAGAAGATTTCAAACTACTGAAATCTACAATCTGATAAATGTAAAGAGTGTTAAAAATAATTTAAACCTAGTATGTATTTAGGTATACTCAATAATGTTTAATCCTAATTTTACATTGTTTTTAGAATCACATTTGGCTGCTATTAAAAAAACAAAATATTGATCATCTTATAAATGCAGCCAAGTGAAAACAAGAAGAAAGATATATTTTAGTGGTTGGTCCTGTTAATTTTCTAAATAAATTTCAGATGTTATTCAGTTCTTCAGATGTGCTTGGCCATGTATCCATCATATTTATAAATTTGGCATGTATAGTCCAAGTTTTAATGAGGTTAAAATCATGGGATTGTGCATTCATCAATCTTCTTTGAGGCTAACTACAAAGGAAGAATTAAAATGTATACTTGACATTGAGTCGAAAAATTGAAGCACAGATCACACTTTACTTCAAAAAATATTGATGTTCTTGGATACATTAATACCTACCTCCTTAGGATGATCTTCAAGAGATTAATTAACTCTTAAATTTTTTTTATACAAAAATGTTGAAGTACCCTGAGAGACGGAATTGTTAATATTACTTTTAAAAAATAAAAATGGAGCTGTCTTGCAAACTTAACTAAAACTACTAGTAGCTGTTTTTACTATATATGTGATATACTATATTCCATAGGAAAAAAAAAAAAAAATGAAAAACATATACTTATGAATAAATAATTTGTCTATGACTAAATTGTATCTTTAATCAATGATTTAAGCTTTAAATATTAATGAAAAATGCATATTCAAGATAATTTGAAATAATAAGATCATGTACACAATATTATATCTTTTAACAAGACTAAACATCTTTGATACAAGAATTTGGAAAATTTCAAGACTACTTATTTAAGGTCAGGGAATACTTGTGATCAATTTCTTAAAATTTATTATAAATTAAAACCTTTTAATAGATACATTAACAAGTAGGTGTAAGAATAAATGAATACACATTAAAAAACAAAACAAATTTGAACTAAAATAATGCCTAACCATATCTTTTTTTAATAGGTCAATTACAACATGGCCAAACCCAGAGAACCTGAACCTATGGAACCTGAAGATCAAGAAACATTTGTGTCAAAGGTCTGCAAATTTTGTGATCCATGGCAGAAATGTTTACTATATGCAGTTCCCGTATTAATTGCTTTACCTTATTTGGTCAGAAAACTGAGATGTCCACCATCCTGTAGCAAAGCAAATAAATGTTTTAAGCCACCACCAGGCTGTTGTTGTTGCAGAGCCTGCTGCAAACCTCCCTGTTGCAGACCTAATTAAAGCACTGAAAAATAATTATTACCTGTCCATGCCTAAAAGTGCATCATAAATTAAACAATAAAGCAGCTGTAAAGAACAATGTCTATATTTTTAATAACGGAATTCCATTTACGAATAATCAACATAAAACTTAAAGGGTTACCTAGTTAGATTAAAAGTCAACTTTAAATTTTAAGAAAACCCCAAATCTAATATTTTTAAGATTTGATGTAACCATAATTTAACCTCCCAGCCATGTGATTAGTTTTCTGCGCGCTTCTGGAGCTACATCAGCGCATTCTTATGTAGTTTCTGATAAGTAGGTACTACAATATTACAAAGAGATATGAATTTGTCGTTGCTGTTAGTTTCATTTAATCTGTTATAAGTGTTGGAATTGACAACTCATTAGGAATTTAACGATTTCATATTATCTATTTTTTTAAGACAAAGTGTTTATGAGTTTTTACTGTTGTCATTGAAATTTATCTAATCAAAACCTTCCTCTATACTTCAAATTCAAACTTTGGCGGTAGGTGATTAAGATGCTTGAAGCAGCTGCTAGTTTCTGGTTAGATGGCCGTCAGCGAAGCATTTTGAAAGCTTGTATGTGGCAAGCGTTAGTTTGTTGATTGTTTTTAGTTATTTTTTTATCGTCAATGATTACATGTTTGAATATATTATGACATAGTGAAGTTTGCTAATTTTTTAGCGTGTCTGTGAGTCAGTTTTATAGCTATGCGGTGACCTACCGTTTTCTTTACTAGGAACATTCGCACACTTGCAACAAAAGGCATACTATAGGGTAGTAATGTCGGCTTTAAGGGTGAGCAGCATGTAGTTCGTAAACTATACCTCTATTCCAGCAAATTTGGATTTGTTGGAGCCCTTTGAGAATTTGAAAGAGTAAGTAAGGAAAACTTCCTGGTCTTGTAAATAAAACTTCTGGGTTTCATATTTATCACTTTCTGTTATCTATTTTCAAAATTACTTTTAAAATTTTCATTCCTATTCCAAGGTACTTAGTAATTATGACCTTTCTTTACATTATTTGGAAATATGTGATTTAGGTAGTAGAAGAACTGGGTAGTATATAGTGAACTGTTTCCATTATATTTATTTTTTGTTTATCAGTTTATAATTTCTTGGTTTTGTTTATTTGTATTTCTATTGGTTACTTTTAATCATATTCTACTGAAGCTGGTGTACAGGTTGTACCTTATCTATTGAAGTAGTGCATATCCATGCAGCATTCTGACTAAAAAATGTATCGCCTTTTTTTATTCTAAAGCAGATTTATATTGAATTCCATTTTGTCTTGAGTCAACCTAAACTTTTATTTTTTTTTTATTTTGTTCTGGTGTCCCATCTACCATCAAATTGGTGCTTATCCCTTGATCAAATGGAAATTATCATTTTTTTATTTTTACTTTGTTGAAAATTAATTAGTTATATGGGAATATTATCACAGCACCCTATAAATCTGCCCTTTTTAAAAGTTAATCGTTCTCTGTTAGTATTTTTGTTATTTGTATATTTGCATTACAATAATTTTTATGTTATCTATCTTAAACTTATCTGTAGGTTATGCTACTATTTACAATGTATGGGAATTTATTTATATGTATTTTGAAATGGTGATAACTTGGTTTTTTAAAGTCCTGTTAAATTTTTTATTGAATTTAAATGGTTTACAAAAAAAAAAATATTTTCTATTATGTTTTGTAGCATGCATCATCTCTGAATGTGAATGTTGAATGTAGGGAAAACTTATTTTTTTTTAGCTAGCATATGTTTTGAATAACTTATGCAGATTATAACATGAACTTTAAAATTTGGACTATTTAATTCAAGTAGCTTAAAAAGTTATGGCCAATCCATAAACTAATTCTTTTTTTTATTTATTAGATTTTATCTGTAGATGACTAAAATTTATAATTCTCAGTGTATTTTGTATTATTTGTTGCATTAAAGTTGTAAGATTACAAGGGATTAACTATAATTTTAAAGTAAATGCTTAGATTTAAACTATTTTATGTGGCAATATCTATCATCTTAGTCATTTATTTTATTCCTGTTTTGATATTAATATACTCTATTGTTTGATGTGCATTTAATAATCTTCATTACTACAATATACATTAAACTTGATAAAAATGCTGTATTTTCTTAGCTTCCTATGTATCTCCAATAAGATATCAGCAAAAGAAATTTTTATAGTGGAAACTGTTATTTATTTCTTTAATTTTTTATTAAATGTGGTCTTAATCTGATTTTATTCTTGTATCCTATGTAGGAATAAATAAATTCTGGATAAAAACATACTGACTCATCTCAGGACTAAGCCTAAGCATATAGACAATTTTTTTAATTTCATGTTTCTCATTGTGGCAGGTATTTAGAATTTATTGTATTCTAAGGGTTTAATGATGCAAATATTTGGTTAATATAACCTAAAGAGAATAATTTTTTAACATACTATATAATAATGGGAAAGGCATTTTATAAATTAATTTACTACTAAATTAAATTAAATAATTAACAGTTAAATAATTCATTGCTATCAGCCCTCGACTTTAATTCTGGATGCAAATAATCATAGTCTGTAGAGAATAATAAAATGCTTTCTTAATGAATGTCTATTTTCTACTTTTGTTTTCATAATTCTTTGATGTGCAAGGATTGTAAGATTAAAGATTTTATAATTATATCAGTCAATTTTCATAGTTTTTGTGTTTCTAGCTAATTTTATTTTATTAATATTAAAACTTATATTTATTGTTCAAGGTATGCATTATAAGAACCCCTTTTGAATTCCCAAACTGATTTGAGTACCGTTTTCAATTATTCTTGATCTTCAAATGTATGTTCATTTTTGTTTCTTGTAGATCGCTTTGAATGGATGGTAGCATTTAAGCAGCCTAGACCATTCTATTAAGTTTTTAAAATGAAAATCGTGTATTATAATTAAATATTGAAGTAATTTAATGCTTCCAAATTCCATATTATCGGAATGCAAGAAAAGAATGAAAACAATATTTTGACTTTTCGACTTCTGCCATGAGTCTTCTAGCGGCTCAAATGAAAATATAGTTATTATAATTTGTATTATGATGAAATTAATATTCTTTTTAAGCTTACTTGTGTGTCCACTTTAACTGTGTATAATTTTCTGGTCCCAAACATTGTGTACATGGTTCGTATATGAATTGGTCTCATATTTATGTCAATGCACAATAATAGGGTCGAATCACAAAACGGAAGAACTCGCGTAACTTATTCTTATGATCTATCCCTTTGACAGCATAATTATCATTAATTGTTTAGTAAAAATTGTAATTGTAAAAAAAAATGTGAAATGCCATATTATCATTCATTAGTACTATAAGTGGTTTCAAATTTACAATCCTAATTATCAATCACCCTTGCAATAATTTATAAATTTAATTTATTTGTAATTGCTTTTATTTATTTATTCATTTATTAACCTATTTTTGACATTAAGATAATAGTTCATTATAAAAATAAATTAAATTCACTGCACCAATATCATTGTTTTTTTTAGAAGATTTTGGCCTAAAACAGAATGAAATACTAAATATAGGAGTGTCCAAAGTATTCAGAAATTCATAGTATATAGAAGAGTTACAATAACGTCAATAAATTTGTAGCAGTATATTAATACCTGGTTGCAACCTTTTGTTTATTACACATTCTATTCTTTAAGGCATTGATTTATTTTTTTTAAACAATTTTCATTTTGAATAGACACTATATTTCCTGATTTCTCTTTTTGATTCTCTATATGGGTGATGATTGTGAACAAATTCTATATTGAAAGGATAAACAATTGAAATTCTGAATAATTTTGACACGTAGCTTACGAACCTTGCCGTATGGGTTCTCAAACCAGATACCTCATATTTTCAATTTAATTTATTTATGTAATTAGATAAAAGTTTCCAGAAGTTCAGGACATCATATAACGGTCAAAACCTTGTAGATAACCCAGTATTTTTTGGGCCATTACATAAATTGAGTTCAAATTCTGATTAGGTCCTCATTTTTCAAAAAATTTCTTTTGTCCCTTTTAAAAGTATCAACAAACATTCTATAATTGTGTCTATGAATACAAGATCACATACTCTTTTTCAATGAATAAATTCCAAGCCATCAATGATACCTGTCCAAACCATCCTTTCGTTTTTAACTATCTCACATGTATATGTATTTTTTTCAATTCTGAGTTTTAGTTCCTTTGATAGCTCAACAACTCGTTATAGAATCAAGGCTTCCCTTAGTCGGAGTCACCAGTATTCTAGTATTCCCTGTTTTGTGCTGCTGCCTTCCATTTTCGTATTCCCAACAGCTTCTGAGCTCGTCCAATTCGCCCAATGCAGACAAGGTCTTCCAACTCTTCTACGTCTAAATATTTTTTCTCCTAGGAGTAATTTGGGGATTTCATTTTCCATATGTGCAACATGTTCTGTCCATCTTAGATGTCCAAACTTTATTAAATGGATGATATCAAGGTCATTGTAGGAATTCATAAACTCATTGTTTTTCTTCAATCTCCATACATCGTTGATATACATAGACACCACATTTCTTCTCAAAATCTTTTTTTTGAATCTCAATAGATTGTATTGATTTGTAAAAAAAAAATCAATCATCTAATATTTAACGATTAGGCAGTCAGTTTTCACTGTATTAAGTCTGATTTCTGACTTTGTACCTTTTTTACTTTCCTACCTATACCAGGTAAGGAAAGTATTGTGTTCGGGGCAAATTTCTGACATGCAGTTTTTGGCGGATCTATATGTTTCAGAGCTCCCTGAGTCCGAAAAACACATTTTTAGCCATTGGTCTGTCTGTGTCAAGATTTTCTCGGGAACTAGTGAACAAATTTTGTTGCTTCTTTTTTTATTTTGTAGGGTTTTGACTACTGATGCCTGTGACACAAATTAGGTGCTCCATGCGCAATAAATGAAAAACATGTTTTCATCTACAATTTCTCCCTACAGAATTCAATATTCCCTACTTCCTGGAAAAATTCCATTGTCCTTCCTTTAAATAAAAAGTCCAATCCATCCTCTCCTGAAGATTTCCGCCCATTCTCTCAAACTCCCTAGAAAGATTAGTGCAATTCCAACTTCCTTGAAAAGTTCTACCAACTTGATCCTCTTCAATCTGGTTTCCGTCCCAGCTACTCCACACAATCTGCCTTAATTAAAATCACCAGCGATAATTACCTGCGATAGATGATAAAAAATTGACTATCCTCATACTTCTCAACTTCTCCAAAGCCTTTGATTCCATTAACCATTCCACCCTTTTGAACAAACTAAAATCATTAATCTTCTCCAATAGTTCCATGTTTATAGTGCTATGTATATTATTTAATATGGTTTTATTGTTGATAACTTGTAAGTGTATTGTTATGAGGGGGAAGAGGAAAAAGAGAGAAAGAAAGGAAAGATATGACATATATATGTATAAAAATGAAATATAAAATTAATGTCCTTGTGGATTGATAGGTATGCTGTGTACGAAGCAACCCTATGTAGTAGGGCAGCATTACTTTTAATAAAGTATTTCTCTCTCTCTTCCTTTCTCAAAGTATCCAAGCAGTCTTCATACCCAATCAACCACTATGTTTCTTTATCCTCTGGAGTTGCTCAGAGTTCAAGCATATCTCCTCTCCTTTTCAGCTCCTATATAAATAAATTCTCCATTGTTCCCACCACCTTTATGCAGACGATTCTCATATCTACCTATTATTTTCTCCCCCTGGGTTATTGATAGCATTTACCAAGATTCAAGAAGACCTAGATTGAATCAGTGTCTGAGCAACTGTATATGGATTAAGGTTGAATTATGACAAAACTCAAGCCATTATCATTGATTCCAAGCTCCTTAGATCCCATACCGCCTTTCCCATATTACACCTTAACCAGCGAATCTCCTTCTACTCCTCTGTTAAAAATTTAGAATTTTTCATTGATCAAAACCTCTCCTGGAATCATTTATTTCGTGCCATTCACTATCAAATTTTAATGTTGTTCTTTGCTAGGGATAGTGCTAGATTTTCCTATTCTTAATGCAACTGAACGGATATACATGAAAAGTGTATTTACCCTGTAAATAGTTTTAAGTGTTTTCTATATAGTTTTATTTGTTTTGTATATAGCATGTTTACCTAATTTTTTTAAACTTTTTTTCTATCGTTTTTAGTTAGGCCAGATGTAATCTTTTAATTTTGTTCCATTTTATTATTCTCAAGGGACTTTATCCCAGAATAAAGTTATTTTCTATCTATCTATATATTCACTTATATATGTACTATAGTACACGCAGCATGCAAACACAGAGAGATAGAGAGGACCAAGATTAATGAAAAATGGAATATATCTCTACATCTTAAAGAGATATTATCTTATGAATAGGAAGATTAAAACAAACTAAACCTACGCACAATGCTTTGTGAAGAGTGATACTTCTTAGTATCACTCTAGATCTTCATCTTTTCCATATTCATAACAGAAAAGAAAATGAAGAAAATTAAAACCTATTATATGATAAATAATTACCCACTGTCTGATTGAATTGTGAATAAGGATATATGGCGGATTTTAAGCGGGATGGAATTCCAAAATGCAGTGGATCAGACAACAAAGGAGTGTTCAAATGAGGTGGATCTGTGGAAAGGGATGTACAGGCCAGAAGAACAAGATCTTAATAACTAATAGGCCTACAACCCATAATTATTTATAGGTTGAATATATACTTTTAAATGTCTCTAGGCACATGTTTATTGCTCAGAGACTGGAGTTATGTAGTTTACAAAAAACAGATGGAGTAATGAGGTTTTTATTACCTACCGTTGATATAATTAATAGAGGTTATGTTATTTTAATAGTCTTAATGATTTGTTAGATATAAGCTTTAAGCTGTAGCTCTTTTAAAAATGCATTTCAGAAATTTTATAATAGCCCAACATTGCCAGAAAATAATTTCTATTCAAAGTAGAGCAGTAAGTGAAAGTGGTGTGTTGTGTGCACCAGATTTTTATATTTTTCTGGTTCACAGTTTATATTAGAAAATTATTCCAATCAAACTCTTAAATATTACCATGTCTTTTTGAGTAGATCATTGGAAATTTGTTTAGGTTATCACCACTGCTTCAATAGAACTTTAGTTTCTCGTTAATGATAACTTCTTCACTACTGAACCTAAATTTATTTTTATTATCTATATTCTTATGTTTTTTTTATCTAATATAAAATTGATACTCCTTAACTTACTTGATGTGCAATATCTAGAAAAAATCATGAAGTTTTTCTAATCTGTAAGAGTAAGGGAATAGTCACAGAAATTTACAAGCTTTCTTATTATGATTCAGTATTATTGTTCATGACAAAAGTTGACATAATAGTAATCGATTTTTCATCATAAACGATTATTAACTTTTTTTAACTTAATTATTATGGAACTATTTTTCTCCAATAGACAAAAACTATAAAATTTATTTATTGTTTCTCTATAATTTTATGGCAAAAAAGTTTAAAGTTAGTATTATTAAGTAGTAGTTAGTATTATTAAGAAGCTGTCAGTTTTATTTGTATACCAAAGAGGGGTTTGTTGGATTTACAATTTTTTTTTATTTATGGATTTTCTGTATTTATTAAAGTTTTAATTTTATTGATGAAATGGTATCTCTGTGCATCATATTTAACGCATGACATCAATGTATGTTTCGGTTCTTCCTTAACTTAACACAATTCACAATAATCTTATTTCTTTTCTCTTAATTATATATAGATAGGTAGCTGAGATAGCATGATTAATTATTGATTTGCACATTGTTCTTATTCATGTTATAGGAGCTTTGCTATTACCAAATCAGGGTTCCATCGTTCTCAGTGTGCAGTAAAATTTATAAAACATCTATTTTTCTTATTTTTCATAAATTTCCTGCCATTTGCTCTTCATAGAAATTTTTAATTCATTTATGATGTCTGAAAAAGATATGTGATATTTATCTAACTGTTTTTTTGTTGCTTCCTTCGCCGATTAATCAACTGATAGTATTGTCTTTAATTCCTGGGTGGTCCCTAATCCCAGCAAATTACAATTTTATTTATCATAAAAATATATAATTTTCTTATAAGGCCTCCAATGTTGTATTTGAAATGGTAAATATTGTTCAAAATATGTAAAATGAATATTAATAAACATTATAATGGTGTAGAGATGATTGATCGTGATATATTATGAGAATATGTGATAAGAGATACAATATGTATTTTTACTTAATATCTTTAATATTTATACAAATTTTTACATGTAAAAATTTAGTATTTATTTGACTGCACTCCCCGACCAACTCCTTCTCTCATTAATAAACATTAGTTCATATATTTTAGTCAGGAAGATGTTTTCAATTTTACCCTCCTTCATAACGAAAGAGAATAAATTATACCCATAAAAGTAAGAAGGGAAATATATTGATGTATGTATCATGTACTATTACAATTATTTCAGTGACTTGGAGTCTTTCTAAATATAACCTGAAAAAGTTAAGATATTTCATTAAAAGGTTTCGGTAGACATCCCGCTTATTTGATAATAACAGAAAGTATATATCTAAAAAAAATCTTGTTTTGGATAATAGTTTTTTTTTAAAATAATTTTAGAAATGTTATTGACGACAAAAAAATTTCAAAATAATAATAAATGCAGGAGATTATAGTGAATTAGATTATATGGTGATGTAGTGATCATTAATGAGAAGCTTTATAGTCTGTTAAATCCATGGTGGTAGGCTAAAATAGCCAAATTATAGATGAAGAAAATAAAGAAAGAACATTATTTCTCATCATATGTTGTCAATGGTTGTAAACTAATTCTTTCAAGTTAAATTATAATATATCTTTGTTAAAGGTAATTTTCTTAATACAATATATTAAAGCATAGAATTGCTATTATTTTTTTGCACCAAAATTTTAGAAGCTTTTCAACCTCATTTATTTACTATATTTATAGAGTCAAAATATAATTACATTTTTTTATTAGACTTTATTGAGACAAAGTTCATTTCCACATTGTTTAGTTTTTAAGATAAAGGTGCTGACTGAGTACAAGTTTGAACTATTCCTAGTTTCTTCTTCACCATGACCATTAAAAATTAAAAAAACAAACATATTTGTGAGGATCAATAATCCTGTTTTATATTCATAAACATTTGTCAGTATGGCTTATCAGTGTGAGAAGTAATTTATTTTATTTTGTTTTAGATGTCCAAGGTCCAGCGATCTATCAAACTGGAAGATGAGGAGTATGACAATTTTCATTCTACCCCTGATATGAACAGTGCTAAATTCTGTAAGTAATTCCTCGCAAAGTAGTTACGAGAAGTTTTCTTGAGCTAATTACTGTTTACCACAATTGTTTAGCAACACACTTCAAATCAAAAACTATGGAAAGGATATTTGACTCAGCTATTCAAAGCATTTTATGTTTATAGTACCATTTTGTGATAAAGAAATTTATAAATTATTTTTTGGAATAAAAAAATTGGATCAAAAAATTTATTTCACTTAAGACATTAAAATATTCATTTTCAAGTTTTAAGTAATTATTACTGCTTATATGTAGATTTTGACATGTTTGTAAGTTACATTTTATTTCATTGTGCCTTACTACTAGTAAAACGATAACCATCAATTAAAAAACAACGATGTTGAGGTGTTTGGTTGCTGAACTATAGTAATTAACATTTAAATTAGGTTACAAACCATGTAACTGTCTTCTAACTAACAAACTATTATTAATGTGATGTTACACGAGCATTTTCTCATTAATTGCTGGAGATAAGTATTTTTATTGAGGATTTAAATTGATTCTGCTTTTTAATGCTCCACCTAGCCTTTTATTTTTACAAAAGAATTTTTTTAGACCATGTACACAAACTCTCTCTCTCTTTCTTTCTATTGGTAACTAATTAATAACTGTATTTCTCTTTTTAAGTTTAAGCCTAAACCTATCTGGGTTTATTTTCTTCAATACTAATCCTTCGTAATTGAAAAAAATTAATCAACCCTTAAAATTTGTTTTAAGTTTCAAAATACTTGGAATCCAAAAAAAAACATATATATATATATATACTACACAATGGTTTATTTTTTCCTAATAGATATCTGGCGTGTTCATTCATGATTATTTTTTTTAACTTTTTAGATGCAAGTCCAATCGGAAGATCTGTCTTCGCAAATAATGAACTTGTTTGGTTCAGCTTTGTAGAAAATGAATTATCTTCCGATTGATCTTTAGAAATGTGAGGAACTAATGATAAGTTATCAGGTTTCAATAGCAACATGAGCAAAATACTTTTTAAAAACATAGACATTAAACCAATTACACTGTATCTTTGCAAATGCTGGTGGACCTATTTAGACTTTTTTTTTGGTAGGGTGTGTTTTATGAAGAATTTAATTGCCTTTCAGATGAATATATTTATATATTTTACCTTAAATTTATACTTTTAAATTGTGTGCTGATAAAATTTATTTTTTGTTACATTTTGCTTACATTTTTTTGGGCATGTATTATATCAAATGCATGTAACTTAAAAAGTCAAAAGGTTTAAGAAGAAAAATTTGGTACATGGTCATCTGAGCCCAAAAAGCTAACAAAAAAAACGTCAACATCCCACCCATTCAAAAATAGATTAATGAAAATTTGATGTAATTATAATTTTAAAAATAAATTATCTATTTGTAATTTCTCCCATGTATTTTTTTCAGCCTTCATATATGGCCAGGGTTTGTGCTCACCTTCTAGATTTAATACCTAAGTCAAAGGATGATCCGTAGAAAACAATTTTTCTTTTTTTTTTTTCAAAATGGCTGACATGGGGCTTCATAAGCTCATATATTGGTCTTTTTTTTATGAAGTATAAATATAGTGTTTCAGAATCATTATGCCAAAACAAAATTTACTTTTGAGAGAAGTTAGTTGGGATATTCAGTAATAAATAAATAAAAAATTATTTATTTTTATTTTTACCAATATTTCATCCCCAATTTAAGGTCTAATCTCAGGAACAATTATTTTATTTTATTCGTTTATCTATTGCCAATAAACCATTGTGTTGTAATTTGCTGTGTTTTTATAAATATATTAAAAATCATATTTCTTAAATTTATTTTATTTTAAACTCTTATTGGCCTCTTACTATTTTGTTTTGTTCAGAAAAATATTGCTGAAACGGTTATTGCTATTGCTGAAGGATCGAAATTGCTAGAGTTTGTCATGCTGTTAATTATATTTATGTTTTTTGTTAAATTTAGAATAATGTTGCTGTTTTTTCTCTTCCCAAATGGAAAATATTTTCATTTAGTAAAGATGTTTTGTCAGTAGAAAAGCTATAACTGATTTTTTTTATTTCTGAAATTAAATTATATAAGTATACAATGTTATTTTCTCTTGCATTTAAGGGTACAAATATTAAAAGATTACAAGAGACCTTTTAGTTTTAAAATTTTGTGAAACTTGAGTTTTGAAGCACTTCAGACTGTGGTCACATACATTACTAACATAGTTTATTAACACTTAACAAAAAGTGGTGGTTTTGACACATAACACCATAACCTCTCACCTCTCAAACTTTGACAAGCTTGCACCAAAAGTAATAAATAAAATCAATTTTTTACTATTGCACAATTAAGATAGAAATTTTCAATACGATTATCCTGTTAATTATCAATTTACCTTCTTTTTTTTTCAGTTTATGTCTCTCCCAAAATTTGTTTCAGAGCTATCAGTCATATATAAAGGGAGACATTTTTTCTATATATTCTTTTTTAGCCTTTTAATTGGATGTAGAAAATTTTAAGTAGAAACCAGTTGCAAAAAGGCTTGCTTCAAGAAAATTATCAAAAGTTCAACAAGAAGTTGCCTCAAGAAATGCCTCACTGAAAACAATTTCAAAAATTGTCCACTAAGACTTGGAGCAATTAAGATTTTGACGTTTTTAAGATCATGCATCAACCGAAATAGATTATCTTGGCACTTTTTTTGTTTTCTCAAATAGAGCTACAAATGTAAAGTATTTTGAGTGAGTTAACCCAAAAGAAAATACTAAAAGTGACATTGGTGAAGTCTAATCTAGTTAATGAATGCTTAAAAGGCGTGGGTATAGAAGGAAATGAAAGGAACATAATTTTGGGACTTTGCATTAGTTATGAGGTAAACATACTAAAAGACTGTTCATTGGTGGTGAGCAGGCTGAGGGGATTCCCTCAAAACTTCTCGTATTTTGATTTTTAGCTTATATCATAAGTATCTATTCATCTTAATGATTAGGTAGATCTTTAAAAAAATGTGTTACAAGATTAATTCTATTCATTTCTTTGCTATATTGCATAATTTCTGAGATTTCTTACTTTAAAATTCACCAATTTAAAAAAATATATATATATTCTTATATTGTTTTGTCTTATTTGACAAACTAACCAGGACTATATTATAACTTCAGACCTTTTCCATTCGAAAAAGTTGTAAAACATTAAATTTCCATTAAGTAACATTAAGTTTTTTACTATATCGTCTTAAATCATTCAAACTTTATGTGTAAATTTCATGATTTTTTAGAAAGTTTTAACTTTCCTTATTCCACTGCTCTAACTCTACATAAGCTAATATACATATACATATATGTATAAAGAGAATGTTCTACGCATACAACTGACAAATTAACAAGTTATGTGTACATAGGTACTTACTATGAAGGGTGTCTTATAATTAATAGTAAATATTTAGAGGTATTAATAGACTTCAAGTGCAATTTTCATATAAACCACGGTCTGATTTCACACTGAAAAGCAGGTAGTTCTGTGTATAATTTTTTTTCTTTAATAGGAATCTGTTGCTAAAAATATACTTGATTAAAGTAATTACTCTGATGACTTGATTGCTTCCGAAGTTAAAAAATTATTTTCTCAATGAATGAATGGGTCAAGACCAAATTCTGTTAAAAAATGATTAAACTCTATTTTCCAGCCTTACACCTAATCCTACTTTACTTTTATAATTTTTCTTTCAAAACTTCCCTTTTCCTATTGTCTGGAAAAATAGGAATATTTATCAAAAGCTTTTCACTGTTAATCATGCGATTCTTCACTCCTGACATCATATTTCCATATCTAATAGTGCTGTAAAATAGTTCTACTCTTCCTATCTCATTGCTCCTAAATCAACTTTATTTGTAACGACACATAACCTCTCTCATAATCACTGCCTCTACGACTAGGACAAGGTATGGTTCGGGATCTTCTCTCTCACCAAAATTATTTTCCATCTATATAAATGACCTAATTAACACTGTTCATCATTCCCAGTTTCATTTATGAGCTGATGACTTATAAATGATAATTCTTTTGGCTTGCATTAATAATATTAACTACTGGGCCTTGGAAAATTGGAAGTTCAGCCTGAAACTAGTAAAAACTAAGGCAATTCTAATTGGTTCATTAACTTCCTTTAAAATTCTTTCCTATTATTATTACTATATTTCAATACCATTCATATTCTGTTCCATAATTTTGTATATATAAAAAAAAAAAAAAAAAAAAAAAAAACTTGGAGTTACCTTTGATCAAAGCCTAAAGTGGAATACCCATCCACACCCTTCCCAAAGTACTCCTAATTTTCTCCCTCATTCCCTTCAGTTTGACTACAGATACCTAATGTATACAGGACTATCTGGTGAGTATGAGATGAGACTGAAAATATTAATGAATTATTTCAAGATTTATTTTTGGTGATCCCAGATGCTCTCACATCTCTCACTGTTATTCCGAGAAATATTGGTTATTTCCTAATGTCTGAAGACAATACTCTTTGGTGCTATCCTAACGCTTGTGTACAAATAAACATCCTATATTCTTGACCTCACCCTCCATTCTTCTATCAACCCTTAAATAAGAGATCTCATTCTTTCAACTTGTATATCCCTTCTCACAGAATAGCTTCTTTCAAAAAGTTCTTTATTATTTGAGTCACCTTTTATTGGAATACCACTTACTCCATTCATAAAGCTCATTCAAATACTATCTATTTTTTCCATTTCCTTAACTATCAATTTTCCACTTATATGTAAAGAAGAAATGTCTATGCACTTGTACTGAGAGGAAACTCAAGTAAGTGGGCCTTGTGGTCCTTTTTGCCAGCCCCTGACGGCTACCTTGAGATTATCTCCGTGTGCTTACCAGAGGGAGTATGAAGATTCATTTCTTAGTTCTGCCCAGAAATGAATATTGACTGACCAATGTGGGAACTGGTACCACGTTCAGAACTGTGCACTCTGAGCTAACGAATCAGGAGGTTCACCAATCTGGAAATTCGAGAATATTTTACGGGTTTTGTATGGTCAGGATTTACAAAATAAATTCTATGAAAGTCGTGACTTCTCAACTTTAATATCTTTGTTTAATTTTAAGTACGAGTTAGCTAATTTTGGCAGTTCAAAGAAGGAAAGAGAGTTTAGCCAAATGGAAGTAAGTACATATGGTACAGATTATCTCTTTCAATGGAGCAATGTGATGTGTAAGGTGGTAATTTTCATCTTCATCCCGACTAGTAATTTTCGGTTCTTCACTAGTGAAAATAACTTTTTGTATTTAACATTGAAAATTTCAAGTTGTGTTGTGTTTAATCCTCAAGAAACAAATTTGGTTCCTTGTTTGTCCATCTGTAAGCAAGCAAATCCACGTGATGGGCTGACACTATTATTGTTCTGATTTTGGTGAAGTTTTCAATGGTCCCAATCAAATAAGGGTTCCACATTAATTTTACAATAGGGTTGATTTTAATCAGATTTAGTAAGAGATCTAAGGACTGTTAGCACTTTCTGCCTTTACTTGATATTAACCTCTCTTTTTTTTCTTGATACCCTACCTCGCCATTTCTGGCATACAGGGGTTGATCTAGAGGTACTACCAAACATATTCTAACCATGGTGGGAAGGTCAATATTCATTATGTGGTCCTCCACAAAATAAATTTTAACCCACCCAGACTGTATTAGAACCGTCATCGTTAGGCTCAAGAATTTTAAAGATTGCTCTTTAATAAACTCCGCCATCACAACCTCTACTTCTTGGAATTAACAAACTTACACTTCATGAGCAGTTAGCATAATTTTTTTTCCCCTAATTTCTTGTTCAACTAGCCACAGGCAACATTATTTATTTCCTTTCCTCCGCTTAATATTACTTAACTTCCTGCTTGTTTTGTTTTACGTCCAATTGATTTACTGAAGTTCTTGTTGTTTGTACAGTATAATCCAGCTCTTGCTATCCTACCAAACTTGTAAATGTAATATAGTTTTCCCTTCGTATTTGATGAATTATTGATAGTTTGAAAATTCTTTTCTACAAATAATTTCATTAAAAGTTTGTTTTTAAGGTATTCTTTATTAACTAATATTTTAAGGATAACAACATTGTAACATAAAAAAACTTTCTTGATGCTACATAAGATTTTTTTAACAATCCATAAAACATTCCACTTCATTCTGTAGTTTTTTGGATGTATTTTAAGTAAATAATGACTTTCCTAACTTAACATCATTAAAATCTTTTTTTAGTTCTAACTTTTTATTAAAAGAACTTTGATTAAATTTTTATTGTTCTTCACTAATGATTCTATGTAGCAAACAGAAATGAATTTCCCTCAAAAAAGTTTTGAGATAATTAAGTAAACACAGTTAATTCTGTTTAGCATCACCATGCAAAATAGAAATGATAGACAACGCTGTGGTGACATCACCTTTCCATCTTCTCGATCATGGCTACGGCAGAACTCCTCAAAGCCAACCACAAAGACAAATGTCCAACGCTCGCACGCAGGTTAATAAATTTTTGTTTTCAATAATACAGCTTTGTTTTATTTAAATTCTAAATCCATTAAACTAATCTAAAATATGTTAGTGTTACATAAACAGTACCATAATAATAGATACAAGTAAAGTTATCATCTGTGAATATTATTTATCTTCTTTTTATTTATAAAATTTTTGTTGTGTGGCAAACCTCATCTGGTTTCAATTAAATTGATATTGTGTTAATTGGGTTTTTTCTGTCTGTAATACTATGCCCAAATGAACCTTTTGTTTTTAACTAGAAGGATGAACTAATAATCTGATAATTGAGGTTATGGGCCTCTTATCCCTTGCCTGGGACTCACAGAATCTTTCAAAAAGAGACTAAACACTGCTCAGATATCTGCCGGCTGAGTAGTTGAATGCTTAGTTGATGAGCTGGTTGGGGTGGGAAGAATAGGGGTTGCAATGTGGATTGTTTTTTATCTACTTTCAATATCCAGTATTTCTTGAGAGTCCTGAATTGAAACAGTTTATATTAGTAATGTGCAAATTTCGAACTGCTATTGCTGACTGTAACCCCATTAAGTCGCATTGAAGCTTCCTTAAAGATTCAAAAACTTAAAATATATTAATAAAGATTTAAATGAAAAACACCAGTTTCAGTGAAGCTTTTTATTTTGTGATAATAACTCAACAAATATTTGACTCTTGTCCAATAAATTATAAAACTCTACTTCAATTTTTTTTTAAAAACTACACCTCCAATCATTTGCTCCAACAGTATTCAATTCATGTAGAGAAAAGGGGGATTGCACGCGACTCATAAATGAAGTAGTTCAGTCATCAGTTTATTACCTATAATATAATTAATACTTAAAACAGTTTATTGAATATTTAGCATTATTTTTAAGAAAAGTTAAATATTGCAAAATACTGGATGGGCCAGCCCTATAATAACATATTGGAGGGTCAGAAAATGCTTTACCCCTTGTTCCCCTGATGCGCTGGCACCTATGCCTCCAGTAACATAAGAAAGGAGCTTATATCATTACAAGGAATGCCCATATTTTCCCCATGTGTCATCTGATTACGTAGTAAAATCCTGCAGAATATGGCCTAAAAATATCCAACTACGAAAATATTCTACCACTAGGCTAAAACTAATAATTCTCATACGCTTAGTCAATTTTTTATGAATTCCCTACAAGTTGTGGATGTCACCCTGGTGTCCCCAACTTGTTATGCCCTAAAGGCGCATTAATTGATATTGTGTTACAATCAATTCAATGGCGCAGGTTCTCTACATTAACATCCAGGTGCTGGTTATTTCATGGCCTTGTTTTCATTTTTAGACGTCTAATTGAACATTATGCTTAATGTTGTATGATCTATTAGATACATTCCTGGGAAGCTTAAATGTGTAGATATTTCTTCTGACATCTATACGGGGAATTAGTAGTTCTAACAGAACATCCTTAAGTGCCCAGGGGTTTTTGGAATATTCAAAGGAATATTACCAAGTGCCCTTTGTTCCTTACACAACATAGAGGTTACATGGATCCTTAATATAAACTGGTCCATGCTTAATCATGACAATACACTAACGCCAAGAACTTAATGTGTAGTTAATTACTTCTAGGAGATTAGTTCGATATTTCTGGAAATGCCAATAAAAAATCTAGAGCTTAATATTGGAAAGAGCATGTTTGTCTAAGGAAGGACCATGTGGGATATTGGAACTCCAGTCTTAGAACACTGATAGTTTGAAACAGTTGTTGTTGAATAATTGGAGAATACAGTGGGGGTATTCTTGCAACCAGTGCTAAGTATTGTAAATCTCTTAAATGTGTAAAGTCGAAAAATTTGGAGAAAAAAAAATTGTGTTAATTATGGCCGCTAGCACTCATATTTCAGGCACTTAATACAGCCTAGGGTCCTGTTAAGTGTTGCTTTTTTCTTTGTTTGTTTTCAATATCCACAGAAATGGAATATAAAGACAGGATTTCTAGGCTAGGATTTCATCTATGTATTCATCAAGTTCTTTGCCTTCTCCATCTGAATCTTCATTCATACTTTCTAATAAAGCATTTTAATTAAATAATGCAGCAACTCAGTCTTTTCACTTCGCATTGACATTTTAAAAATAAATCAAAAAGTTAGTAGATCAATTAAAAACTCAAACTTATTTTATAGTACAGGCATATCTTTACTATAACTAATAAAACTTTAGCAGGTTAGCTCAGACAGGTTATTTACCATTGATTTAAAATTTGTGCTGACTGCTTAGCATGATAGCACATTAAGCATTTACAACAAGTGCATGAATACCCCTAGTGTATTAATTCCTGTAAGGGGAAGTAGTATGAGCTACTAAGTTAATTTTAACAGACATTTTAGCATTGTTCGTAAATTTTAATATTTAATTAATTAAAAATTAATATTAAATAATGTTTTTCATAAATAATTTTATTTTTGATGATATTGGAATACTTAAAATCCTATACTTCAAGTATTCTTAATTACTTAAGTGAACAGAATTTCTAAGTAATATATTAATTTTGAACACAAGTGTATTTTAGAGGGAACATTGAGTTTCTGTTTCTAAAACTACTCGATTGGAAAAATTCAAAAGAAAAAATTAAATATGCTCCCATAAAAAAGAATGAATCATCATGCAAGATATAATTGAAACAAAATTGCATTATTTTAACCAGTAATATAGTTGGTTATTTATTTAGAGACCTCACATGCAACTGTTCTAGTAAACAGATTGTATACACATTTTATACAATAAAATGTCAATATTTTGAGATTAGAGTTTTAAAAAACATTCGCACGATCTCACTGAATAATTTTGAGCCATTAAATTAGAATTTCGCGTTAGTTCCAAAAGTAACTACATTCCAAAAAATCTGGTGTGTCCACTCACACAACTTTCCTACTGATTTCAGAAAACTTTTTATATCTTAATATATGTCAATTAAAAAACAAAGCAAAAAAAAAAAGTTAAATTAGATTTATTTTCCTGAAAATTGATCAAAGAAAAGATTTGCTACAACTTCTTTGATGAACAAAAGCAATGTAAACCGGCTTGTGGAAGATCAGTGTAAAAAAAAATCGATACACTCAAATATTGCCAATCAAAAACTCTTTTTTTTTTCCATAGCCCAATTTTATCAGACAATAATTTCTGTTAAAAGTAGAGGAATTAGTGAAACTTGTGTGACACGTGCACCAGATTTTTTTACATTTCTTTTTTCTCTTGTTTCACGCCTTTCTGGCACTAGGATTTGAACTCATAATCTTACATCCGAAATTGAATAGCTGTAACTCCATTAATAGATATGTTTTTCGGACTCAGAGGGCTTTGAAACTTATAGATCCGTCTAAAACTGCACATCTGAAATTTGACCTGGTCGCAATACTTTCCTTACCTAGTATAGGTAGGAAAGTAATATATTAAAACATATGTAAAAAATAGAATACGCTGGATCATCGCTAATACTGGTTCGATTCTGATGAATTTTAATTTGTTTTATAGGTAATTTAATTGACTTTCAAAAGTATGTAAATTTTACCAAAGATATATACTTAGAAAGGTAACTTTAAATAACTAAACTTTAATAACCGTAAACAACTACTCAGACTGAACACATTATCATCCTTGTGGTTTTGTTGCAGTCTTGTAATAAAATCTGAATTAATAGTTCAAATCAATTAATGATAATATATTACTAATAGTTTGAAAAAAATAATAACAAAACTTATTATTTTAAATTATAAATCTGTTTGTTGAATTAAAATAATAATATATATAAGATAAGAATCAATGCACCACTTATAGCTTCCTTGAGTGATTTTCTGGCACACAATGATGGGTTTTATGATACCATATTTAATAAAATTTCAGTTTGAATGTCAGTACTAATTAACACTTAGTGTGTAGTTTTAGAATTAAGAATTAAGGCTTTAAAAATATATATATTTTAATTTCTAAACAAAGTTAGGTTTTAGTAATTAAGGTCAGTTAAAAAATATATATATATCCAGAATATTTATTTTAAGCATTCATTTCCAAAACGAGCCGTCATATTTTATTATTAATTAACTGTTTTGGTACTAGATTGGTATAAATTGAATAAATTTCTCCCCATAACACTTGCATCACATCTATTAAAAAAAATGAAAACTGTGTTAATGATTTATTATGACTGAAGATCTATTAGAAATTCTTTTTTAAAAAATACTTATGATTAATTTAAGTGGTGAGTTTGTATCTTTTGCAGCGTTGTATATTGTTTGCTTTGAAGTTCAAAAAACACATTGATATAAATACAGCACTTGGCACTTGACTTTTTTTTAGTTTGTTTCGTTTTTACATTTATCTATCATTATTATTATTTATTTTTATTGGATATTGTCTGTCTTAGAAGTTTTGTGACCAAGAGTGTTGTTGTTATTATTGCCTCTCATCTTAGTTATGTCTTTGCTTTTAATTAAAAGATGGAGATATAAAAAAACAGCAGCTATTGTCTGGCCAGAATATACTCATACTCCTGGGTTATTGTTCCTTGATTTAGACTAAAATAAAATATAAAACTGTTTTTGTTGAACCCTGCAGTCATTTATTAAATGGTCCCAGGTCTGTGGTGTGGTGACACTTGAGGAGCTAGGGTTATCGTCTATCTTGAACTGCTGCACATCTGTTTTTACCTTGACCTTTGAACACCTGGGTAAGTTGAATATTTTTATTGATATGGCCTGAAGCAATCTTTTTTTTTTTTTTTTTTTTAATTTTTTCTGTTATTTTATTTGTTGGTAAAAAGTGTTTTTTGGCTGTGTCCATTGTCTTTCCATTTTTTGTTCAAATTTTATTTAACTTTTTTCTATTTTCTAATGGGACGAGTGCTATATTTGCCATTTTTATTCGTTATTAACCACGGGGGTTCTTATAGGTTCCTAGGAATAGTAAGCATTGTCTCCTTATGTCAGTTTTTTGTAATATGTTAAAAGGTTATAGTTGCATTATTTTTTATGATAAATAGTTTTTATTTTTTCCCTTCTGTATTTTAAACTCATCACTCACAAAATAACCGAACTATGATTATAAATATTCTGTTAATATATTAAGTTTTATTAATACTGTTAAACCTTAATTTGTGGTTAAACATGTATTATTGAACAACATTGCTACATGTTTAAAATTAATTCAATAAATATGTGTATGTTTCTACACTAAATGATCTAAATGCCAAAAAAAAAAAAATTAATTTATGAGAATTAAAAAAGTTTCTCGTGAATCTTCAGTGGAAGTACTTAAAAAGCAAAATATTTTATGGAATACATATGTACATAAAACTTGTTCTTAACAGTTCACTTGATACAGATCTATGCCATTGTTTTAGGAAATGGGCTGTGGATATTAATTTCAGCATAGCTTTTGGTTGAATTTTTTTTTTTACTTAAACCAAATGCATTGCATATTAATTTGTATCTATATCACTTTGCATGAATAAAAAACAATTTCAAAAGAAGTTGTTTTTCTTTAGGACAATCTAGTACCAGAACTATTTAAAAAAATTAAAATAGAGTTGGCTGCTTACTAGGCCACTGTTCAGATTTTCTTACATACCTAATATATTCATTGTGTTAAGAAAATCAAAAAAAGTTAGTACAGAAATATTCAGTCATTATTTCTCTCTCTTTATGTGTTATATTAACTTTGTGCTGGTGAATTTATGCTGGAACTGGATTTAATCAGGGCATCGCTATTTATTTTGATCGTACCAACAATCTGTCTAATCAATTGTTTTGTATAGGTTTTTTATTTTGTAATACTATATTTGATAATATAGAATTATAAACTATAAATAAGGTATGACTTACGTGGCACCCATGAGGTGTTAAAAAGAAATATGGTATCATTTTGAGTTATATATACATTTTTCTTTTTATCCGACACCTACTTTAGCTTCACCAGTGACATAACTACCATAGAGGAGTTGGAGCAATTTGCTCCAGGCATATGTTGATGACTGGGTTATAATGGTTTGGAAAGAGATGGAGGAACCACCAAGGTAACAATGCTCCTAGGCTGGTATTAACATTTGGTGCATGCTGCCCCAGTCCAGTAAATATTGGATGTCCTGACAGGTATTTTTTTCATCTCTAGGGGCCACTTATAAAACCATACAGAAATGTAGCAAATGTCTGCATCATTATTCTCTTAGCGGAAAAGACGACACTAGTTAATTCAAATACACCAATGGCCCTAAGTACATTTTGAGGGATTGAAGCTTCTGACAAGATTTTCCCACTTTTTGCGGTGGAACAAGTCTTATGGCAGTGCCTTGTCCAATCCTTTGTATGTGAATCATTACATGTTTGCAAGGAGGAAGGCAGGGCTGACCCTTTCTTTCGCAGCTCATGAGCCTGTCGATTCCTAACAATCTCTGTATTCCTTGAAATATACCTCAGTCATCCCATATTAGCTAAATCATCTATCCTTTTTGGACATATTATAGTTTGTCATTATGAGTTTAGCTAATTTTACCAGTTGTGTATGGAGGTCAGAAATATTTTGAGAAATACATATTTCCTTGAAGGCTCCATTCCTCAGATTTAGAGGGTTTTACTCACTGCAGCTAATTCACTGCCCTAGTTACTAAGCATCTCCCAACAGAAATTCTTAAATTAGGAAGGAAAAAAAAACTAAAGTAGCCATGAATTTGTGGATCAGCAATGATTGCCCAACCGTTATGAATTGCTTTAAAGTTGTCTACTACATAAGTGGTTATCTCCAGTGGTAATCTTCTTCATATGCTGTGGTTTACGTCTGAGGGTGTCTTGAGATGCCTCTTATGTTGTTTAAATCCTGCCTGTGCAGTATCTGATATTTATAACCTAAAATAAATACAAATTTTTTTTGTTCAGCATTAATTCAACAATTATTATTGATAAAAGTTAAGAGAAGATTTGAAAGAATTAGATGTAAGACTTCTATATGAATTAAACAAGACAAGATAGACAAAGTAAGTAGTTCAACATTTAATGTGAAAAAAATGCTTCATCAAAAAGTTAAGTGAGTTTAAAAAAGGTCAAGAAGCACTTGCAACCTAGTTTATTGCAAGACAGCGATTTTATGAAATATTATTTTATAAATTTGTTTTCAATTTGAACTTAAAGAGACTTGCTACTATTCCTTTAGATTTAGTAATGGTCAAAATGTTTCTTGATGACTACAAAGCTCTTATAGTATAGTTAATAGAATATAAAAAACATTATATATTAATAAGAAGTTTCCTGGTCAATGCTGTTCATTCCCGTGTTTGAATGCCTGATGTTTCTTCTGACATAAAAATAAATACATTTAACCATCGAAAAGAACTTATGTGAAGTTTCAAATCTCATCTGATAATTAAGTATTATAGAAACTCAATCGTTCTGCCTGAGCTTCATACTAATCATGGTAATTAAAGTAACAAAAATGAAAGATTTGAACCAGCTAAGATCCTGATCCGCTTTATCATTTGTATAATCGCTGCAATCATAATGTTCCATGCTCATCACAGCTAGCTTTGTATTAATTTACTTTTCTCAACTTGAGTCTTGATTTAATTTACATTAATCAATCGTACTAGAAATAAACATTAAAGGGTGTTTGTATCTCTGCGACTTCCTCAGATAAAAGAACTACTTTCAATTCTAAAAAAAAAAAAGATCGGTGCAATTTAAAATGTGTCGAAGTGTGAAATTAGGTTTAAAATTATATTTGCTGATGTAAGGTAGCTATTCTTGTTAAATATGGGTAATTAGTCATCTGATCAACTATAAGGACGAAGAAAATGGTCAGGATTTTCAGTCGATAGTTTTATTGGGTCAGCCAACTTTTTGATCCAACTATATGTGGTCAGAACATCGGCTAGCCCAATAAAACTAGCGACTGAAATTCCTGACAATTTTTTTCATCCTCAATTTCTTGTTAAGTAAATATTTTTAACATGATGTTGAAAACAAATAAAACCACATTTAAAACTTGATAATACAGCACTTCCTTTTATTTTGTGGTATTGCTATCAAACAGAGCCATGGAGAGAAACTAATAAGGACCCAAGGGATAATTTTCTCTTCAACCTCTTTCAAATATTAAATTCAGCACTAAAACACGAGATCATTATAATAATGTATGCAACAAAAAAAATTATATTAAAAAAATCAATAAATATTAATCTGGAATTCAAACATTTATTTATTAACTGTTGTCAATTGTCTCTTGATTTTTTATTTGTTTCTTTCTGCCATAAACAATCAATTTATTTGGTAATGATTATCTTTTAAAAAATGTATGCCTACACATTTGTCTTGTTTTTATAAATTCAGAAACATCGGTGTTTTTTTTTATAAATAAATATTTAATTCTTTATTTTCTCATTGTAATTATAAATTTGTATATTCTAGGCTGTCAAAAGAAAGTTAAATATGGAGACATCGGGTGACGAAGAAATGGGTTTCAAAACACCAAAATCAAGGAAAAAGAATAATTCTTTAGTGAGAACACCTAGAGGTTTGTTTTTGTTTATTTATTCTTGGAAACTATTTTATTTAGTATTACTTATCAAAATAATTCATTCTTGATTCAGTTCCTTAACATTCTAATTTAAGGAATTTATTATGTCATTTTTAGAGTTGGTATTGTTGGTCGTCAATACAGTCATCCATAGGTGGATCTACGGGGAGAGGGGGCTTTTGGGCTGAAGCCCTCCTCTCGCCCAAAATGGTAAAATATTACCATGTCTTAAGGAAAAAATATTTTAAAATCATCTCTAAAAGTTTTATTGTTCGTGTAATTACATTTAACCGGACTTCAAGAATCACTTGAACACCATTTCACGTATAAGTAGTTACGTTTCTTTATTTTTTTTTCCAAAGTAATTATCGTTATATTTGAAAAAAAAATATTTCAGGCTGAAGCCAAGATATGAGGTGTTTATGCCTACTTTGGTTTGAATAACTAACTACATTATAATAATAAGTGAGAGCAATAAACAGAAATTACATAAAGAATTCGGTCAAACACGTTTGTTTAAAAAGGCATATCTAGAAGAGGAAATTAGTCCATCCAAATTTTGTGCATTTTGACAGAAAATTTGTCTTCTTGCACATAATCCAAAAACTATGTTTTTGTGTATATCATGAAATATTTGACTGGCTAGGGGCTGTATAACACCCATTTTCCAAAGTATATCTCACAAAATTTAATAAAGTTTGGACTGAACAGAAAGAGCAGTATTAACCAAATGGCATCATAGCCGAAACAAAGCCACTGTGGAGGAGAGAAATGTAAATAAATGTGGTGAAAAATACAACCTTTCTTTATACAATAATGTTAATGCTTTTGAAAAAGATGGAACTAAAATTATTTGAACCTATGACGGAAAAGTGATATATTGGGTTAGACATGCTGAGCTAGAAACTGTATTTAAATTAATACTTTTATATGTTAATTCTTAATAATACTTTGGGCACATCTAGTTTGAAAAATAAGTTACCATTATTTTTGTTACTTTTTCAATTATTCACTATATTCCAAATGTCCTTTAATTCACAATTACATTATTTTATTATGCTTCAGTGAATACAATATTGTAATCAACAAAAATGAGCTGATATTGTTTACTGAAGGAGTATCAATGGTACATAAGGAATTTCCATGTCTTGTAGGTCACATTTTTAGTTATATTTATTTTTTTTATTAGCACTCTTGAGTTAGCAGAAAGTTTCCTGTGTATAGGCACATAATGGTTCGTCATTTAAAAAAAAACCTGATCGAAGAAATCAAAGATGTTTTTTAATTTTATGTCGACTGCCCTTTAGATCACACATGCAATTAAGCATATATAACTGATTTCTATTACTTTATTTTTGTCACATTTTGATTTTGAGAACAAATGTTTTCTTTTTTACCTCCTGTAAGAATGCCAAGCTTCTCTGTCTTCAGTAGTAAGGCAACAATATTTGTGTATACATATTTTTTTTAAAAATTGCAGTCTTCATTTAATTTTAATATTTTATTTAGGCAAGATATGCTGTGCATATTGTTTGTACTAAAACAATGTTGTGTAATGTTTAAATAATAAATTAAAGTAACTCACCAAACTATTGCCTGAATAAATAAAGTAAAATATATTAGAAGTTCTTTTGAGCTTCAGGAGTAATGTTTTTCAGGAGGTATCCATTACAAATATAACGTAATCAAATTATTTTTATTTTTTTTTTTGTCCAGGTCCAACTCGTTATGATACTTCTTTAGGTCTTCTCACAAAAAAATTTGTTAATTTGTTACAAAGGTCTCCTAGAGGCATTGTTGACTTAAATTATGCTTCTCAACATTTAGATGTTCAGAAGCGGCGGATATATGATATTACAAATGTTCTAGAAGGTGTAGGTATACTTGAGAAGCGTTCCAAAAATAATATTCAATGGAGGTAATTATTTCATTATTGCATTATATAAAGCTAATGTATCTATTCATGTTCTTAAAATATTTATTTGTTTGTTATTTGTTACAAGCTTCAAAATTTAATTTGCTTTTTTCCACACAGGGGAGGGAGTTTCACCGAACCTCATACTGATGTTCAAAATGAAATAGAAAAATTAGAGCAAGAAGAGAAAGATTTGGACGATCTTAAAAAAGCAGGTTTGATATATTTGCATTTGAAAATTTTGTTTGTATCCAATTAATAATGTTCCATTATCATTCTTGTCTTATCCAATAGAATTGTTACATCCAAACCGAATAACACTTCTTGAACAATTTTTATTAAAATTAAAATGATAGAGGAAAAGCCTAGTTCATGAGTGTTTTTGTTATTTATATCCATAGTAAAAGCCCTTTTTTATTCATTTTATTTTAAAATATATTTAAACAAAGTTGAAATACAAATTATATCAATATTGGTAGTTATTAAGAAGTTTTACTACGTATCATTTATTTAAAAATTGAAAATATTATTTTAGAGATGGATTTACAAACACTGCTGAAAGACAATCAGTATGCTTATGTAAGCTATCAAGACCTGAGGAGCATTAAAAATTATAGTACGCAAACTGTGATGGTTATCAAAGCCCCTCCTGACACTCATCTCGAAGTACCTACTCCCACTTCTAACTCAAGGGTAAAACCAAATTGTTTCTATTCCAAATTAAATTAATTATTAAATGAATGAATTTAATTTATCTTATATATTTATCCTGTTAAAGGTTGAGATGGTCCTTAAAACGGAAAGAGGTGAAATAGAAGTTTTCTTATGTCCTGATATAAAGAATTCCAAAGAAGAAAGAAGTGATTCTGACAGTATATCAACACCCTCTACCTCTAGAGATTTTAATCCTACTCTTGTAAGTATATATGTATTTTTCTTCATAAATGGAGTGTTCCATACTAATCGACAAAATGGAGAAAAGTCTTAATCTATTAAAGAAATCAGGTTTTATATATCGCACCATAAGTTTTTAAAAAATGATAAAGTTATAAATGAAATAGCCTATCATATTTACCGTTATCGAAGTTTCCCATCTTATCTGTATCACATACCAGTTGCTTAAGTTATTTTAAACTTAAATATCAGGGATTCATTCCTAATCTATGGTCTGATACTTATCAACTCAACTCAACAGGCAATATAGAAGTTTTCAATGAACTAACTATCTGCAGATGGACGCATTTTACATATTTTACCATGAATCCATTGCACTGATATTATTTTTAATGTTAGAAAGATGAGATATTTATTTCTTGATGGCCAGTACAAATAATTGACGTGGTTTATTGCTTAGTAATACAATGGTGTTGTCATTCCTCTTCTCAAGTAATTTTTCATAGTACAGCCTGCACTCCTATAAGAGGTAACTCAGAAATGGCTTGCATTAAACTATGCATTGAAAATGGCTTTATATTGAACATACTTAAAGAAAAAGTAAGCCTACATGCTGTATTCTGAACACATGTCATTGGTTTATTGCAAAAAGTCACCAAGTGATTTTTTGGTGATAGTTAAATTTTTAACACTTTAACCACCATAGCGGGCATATGTGCCCTCTCACTGATTTACCCAAAAAACCATGGCGGGCGTATACACCTGCCATTGAGATCCACAAAGAAGCTTGTTTTTGTTTAATTTTCAAAAATAATCGAAATATGAAAGTAACTACCTAGGGTAAAAATACGAAAATATAAATTTATAAAAAAAAAACTAATATCTCTATGGGCGTATATGCCTGCTCCGCTTTTTAAAAATTATAGTGATTAATTTATTTTTGGAATCTATAAATATACATGATTCTTTTTTTAACAGTATATTATAAAACTTCTTCACCTGATTGGGAACAAAAGGTTAAAGTGTTATGGCCACTTAATGCGGATGGCTGAGAACCGCTGGCCAAAGAAAATTTATAACTATTTGCCATCTGAAAGAAGGAAGTGTGGAAGGCCAAAGAAGAAATGGATAGAAGACGTGGAGGAATGCATGGCAGCCAGAGGGCTCCCTGAAGGAGATCGGATGGACAGAGAGCAGTGGCTTTTGGATGTTGCGGATATGACTCCTTAAGTTGTAGAAAACCCAAATTAAAAAATATATATATATTTACAACTATTGAAAAAAAAAATATTTGGTCTGCAGAGAAATTTTTACTCGAATGGCATGGTCGTTAAATTGTTAAATACTTTTTGTAAAAGTTGCAAAGCTTTGACAAATTTATGAGGTACAAGAATTACAATTATTGGGGGAACAATCTGGTTGACTCATAGCTTTTCGTTTACCCTTAAATAAAGAGTAGTTTGCTATATTGCAAAACAAACAAAAATTTTGAAGAATCTAATAAATAAATCTAGACACTAGAAGTAAAGATTAAAGATTCATGCACACAGAACACAATACGATCTCTTTGTATGGATCATTGTGTAATATCTTGTTCTGTTTGACTGTTATAATGGAATATATAGTAATACACTTGTAACAACGAAGCAGATACTGTTATATCTCTAAAGGGTTAAGTATACTAAGGGGGCAAGATGCTCTAGCAGGTTTCACCATCATCAACCTTGATAAACTGGAGCTAGCAAGATAAAATAATTACAAGTTCGTGTTCTGGTTCTGGAGGAAGAAGGGAGCTTTTAACCTGGGAAATCCAACTCCATATAGCCTAAAAAGCAAGGATGGGGAAGACAAAAAAAGTGAAGTTAAATCAAAATAAAGCAAAAAAAAGTATAGAACTTTTATGTTCATCAATTACAAAATAAATTATTTTATTTGGATATTTATTAGTTGACCTTATAGCTAATAGGAATTTCGATCCCTCGACAGCAATGTTGTTTCATACGTTGACTGTCTTTCTTTTTTTTATATTTTATTTTGTACAAAATAACAAAAGCTGTAAAATTACAATTAAATTCTTGCAACCTCTAGTTTTAAAATGTATTATGTATAATTACATTAATTCACTGTTATTGAAATTTCAAACATATCCGTTAATGACATCTAACAACATATAACACTGGAAAGAAATATTTAAAAGTTTGTTAATATACGTTGGAACGCAATTCATTCAAGATCAAAGTGTACATTGTCAATCCTAGAAAAGAGAACTAAAAACAAGTTGTAAATATAATGCATTAATAAATAATAATAATAAAATATTATATGGGTGTATTTTTCATTAATGACTTATGTATAACTGATATAATTTTTTTTTTTTTTTTTTTTTTTAAGATAAGAGGAAAATTTTATTACAGGAGGGTATGTTTAGCATGCCAATCATCTTTCTACTGTACTGTTTTCAATATGAAGCTGAGGAAGGATTCAGTGTATTTTTCCAGTCGATGTTTACTTAAATTATTTTTTCAGTTTTAACTGAAACTCCTCTCTGAACACACCTTCCTGAGGATGTCCTGCAAAGTTGGGCCGAGACATTGACTTGTAATGAAATAGTTTTTCCAATATTTTAGCCTCTTTATAACCGCCGTCTCCTTTCTCATAAATTATTTTTTAATGTAATGTTAGCTGTTGAGCCTATCCTTCAATTGGCCAAGAGTACAATGGATGAATGTACACCATACGCTTTGAAATAAAAGTTAAATTCTTGCTACCTCTGTTTTTTATGAATCTCATTAGTTAAGGGTCAAAGTTTTTTGGGTGTTAATTTATTAAATTAAATGTGAATATTATAGAATGATTTTCATTATTGACCATTATAATGTTTTGTATTTTAGGCAAATTCACCTGAGAAATGTAAAGTAAAGATGGAAAAAGATGCTTCTAATGCTTTACTATCCACCGCAGATGAATTTCAACCATACCCGTTTCAAACAACTGAAGATCAGCATAGTTCTGGTAATGATTGGGTTTGGTTTTATTAAAATTAAAGTATTTGCTTAAGCTTGCTACTTCACATTCTTTAATATTTGTTTTTTTTTATGCTTCAATAATCCCACTTTTGCTTGTTAATTGAATTTTGTTTGCTATCATACATGACAGTGAAAATTTCATTGTTGAATTTGTAAGATTTTATTACCAGATATAGTTTGTAAATGATTTGTTTTGTAGTAATGTATGAATGTATATAATTTGTTTTGTTTTTTTATAAATATGCATATAATCCTATAATTCTGTTTAATTATAAAGTTATTTATTTTGAGATTTTAATTTATTTCACTTACAGTTTTTTCTAATTTATTTTTTATTGGGTATATGATGTAAACAGAAACACCATTTATTGATTGTTGTTGAAAGTTTTCTTCCTGTGCATTGCCTTGGAATGTATTTAGTAGGTATGCACTACCATACAAAACAGCACATAGATTACCATTACATCAAATTCAAATTTTAGAAAACAAAATTAGTTATAGACAATGGCAATTTTCAGTAAAATATAGGTTTATATTTGAAACACCAATTTTAATAATTGTTGACTATGTGTATATGTTTTTCAAATATTATGGGTAATATTTGAACTGCGTATTATTTTTAACTATATGGAACTTATATGTAAGTGATAGTTGGTTTATTGTTTGTTTTGTTTTATTCATCAAATTCAGTATATTTATTTTTTCTTTATCGGAAGTGTTATTAAAAACTTCAAGATATCTTGCTTGCTGTGTCTTCTTCAAGGTTGCTATTTCACTCCTCTTTACTTTTCTAAATGGAAGAAGGCTTGGAATACCGCATCCGAAAGATCAGTTGGTGATCTGTTGTGTATCCTATCACAGACTGAGCTTTTGGATGTTGTATTTCCACACTAAGCTCTATCATCATTGAAGACAACATGGTAATTAACATTTGATTTGTTGTTATTATAAAGGATATGTCATATGAACCCTATGCTTAAAATGATTTTATTTCCTGATTTATATATATATATATTCTTATTTAATTCATTGTAACATAAAAATATAATAAATAGTCAAGATTGAACTTTGTATTTTGAAACAAATCTTTTTATTGTAATGTTGACTAAAAATTAAAATGATTTAAGTTTTTTATATAGTATATTAATATATTTATTGTAATCCATTCTTTATAAACTAATGCATTGAGTAGAACAAATATTTTTAGTATGAATTTAAGAGTAGAGCAACTGAAGCCAAGAGAATACAACTTAACGTTAATCAAAATAGAATCTCTTGTTGCATATTTCAGTTATAAATGGTTTTTATTGAAATATGCGCTTTGCCAAAAGGAGGGTAATTTGTTTATGCATACGAATTTTCGAGAAAACGGCTCAAGTGATTATCTAATTTTATAACATAAATTATTGAGTGAGATTATGTAATCTCATGAGAATGTTGTGAAACAATTTGATCTCAAATTACTGAAAAGTTATTGATTTAATATGTCTAGATATCTTTAACGATTTTTTGAGTGAATGGTACAACACACTTTTAAGTCTGACAGCACAAAATCCTCAGTGAGATTCCATGAATGTTCTGAAACAATTTAAGCTCAAAATAGTGAAAACTTTTATTTGAGGGGAGCACATTTCTATGGGCTCATGAATTTTTGGAATGAAAAGTTTCAAAGCAGGGAAAAGGGGAAAAATAGAACAGACCACAGCAAGTGTAATTGTATGTGATTCATGTTTTTTTAAAATTCTATTTTCGCATTCACCGTTTTTAAGAAGAGAGAAATAAAATATCTTGGGAAGGTTTACGCGTCATCGACGGTGGGCAGACACCCATGCTCGTAATGGTCAAAACTTTAACATTAAAACATATCCTATTAAATTTAGTAAATTGCCTAGACTTCGACCATAAAGCATTCTATCCCACAATGTTCTTTCAAAATATTCTTTTTACCCATTTTGAATTCCAATTTATCATTTCATTTAGACAACTGACTTAATTCAAAATCTTAAAAGACTTTTAAGGACTAGAAACTGCTTATAATTTCAAACTACTTTAACGCCAATTAGTCTCTCTCTGTAAACATATTATTTATTTTTAAAAAAGCTTGTTAATTCCCCTGAATTCAGTTCTTCTTTTCCTTCCTCTCCAGTGTGAAGATGTATCAAGCCATTGCAACCAGGCATCCAGGTCTCTCATGAGTGTCCTGATCTCTCCTATCAATTTCTCTCTTGATAGTCCTGGATATGAGGCCTTTGTAAGACAGGCAGGCTCTATCCTTAGGTCTCTTACTTGTTGGTTGGGCTTCATTAAGCTTCTGGGTTCTCTAAATTTTCTCCCTAAGTTGTATTTGTTCTAGTGACTCTATATCTTACTCTTCTCTAATTCTGGCGTTTTATATGCCACGTTGTCTTGTTTTTCCCGCCACTCTTCAGAGATACCTCATTACAGGTCCCTTCCAACTCCCCTTAACACTGGAGTTGCAGATTTGGAAGTAATCGCTATTAGCTTTCCTAATCCTGTTGTTGACCTCATCATCGACTTTCCCATTCCTGCTTTCACTTTTATTTTTATTGATAGAGGGTTCTTTCCTTCATAATTCCTCTTGTCATTCAAACAAAGCTTATTGTAGATTCTGGCTGTTCTCCTTTTCCAAATTATATGTATATCATTCACAAACTTAAATTAATGAAATGACTTAAGTTGAATCCATATCACTTTTATTGCTGATTTGTCCCCATAATAATAACCTTTTGTTAAAAACTTCAAAGCTATTAGTTTCTGATCTTTCCCACTGAATTCCTGATAAACCTCCAAGGCACCTGGAAAAAAGAATAAATGGTCCAATATACCTCCATTCAGAGAATTACCAAATGAAAACTAATTGATAGTACCATCAACTAGGGTAGCTGACTGGTCCTTATGGAAAACTTTAATGTAAAAAAAGAATTTATGAGCTGTAAATAAACAAATTGAACTGTCATAAATTATTTATAGATAGCAATAAATTAGCTACAATTACTTTTCTTTGTCTAGATCTAGCAATTTTTTTTTTTTTTTAGTCAAAATTACCTCAGTTGACAGTAGTTTATTCATAATTCACTAACATGTCGTATTTATCAGATAGCTTATTAATTAGTCGAATTTTTATTAATAAATACATTAATCTTATTTTGCCTTATTTAAGAAAAGGTTGCCTTGACCATAAAGGTTTACAGAAATTCTTGGAATAAGTTGTATGAATATGTATGCTCTAGAGATAACCACACTAAATATGATATTTAATTTTTAACTAAATTTGATTAGCATCTGAGAAGTTCATATCACTTATATATACATATATATATATATATATCGATAATCATACTCTAAACAGATTATTATAGACTTGGGATTTAAGTGTATAAACAGAGTATATGGAATTTAAATTAAAATAAGTGGGTGTGGAAAATGTTGAATTATACTTTGTTCCATTACTCTCATTGAACTAACTCAACTGATTAAGCTTTGATCTGACTAGTGTTACCTAAATGACATTGGTTTGGTACGATCTGGTCATGTCTCATTTTTGCATTTTATTCTTCCATTCAAATAAAAAACGGATATTTTAATTCACATAACAGTTTTCAGTGCCTTGATTTTATAATTGAAACTATGGATTTCAAGAAGTCTTTAACTAAGTTTCTTATTTAAGCTATCTTGATGTGTATCTCCAATGGTACAGCTTTCCAATGTTTATGGCATCACCTATTTTCTTAACTTCAATACTTACTGAGATACTTAACGTGTGAAGTTCTTTACTTAAATTACTAAATACCATATGAACAACATACTATAGACTGTATAACGTAAGGTTAAGACTAGAACAAACATTAACACAAGTAGAGACTGGACAAAGAGCATGTCTAGAACAAACATAAACACAAGCAGTGACTGGACAAAGAGCATGTCCTGACCCTAGAGCTTCTACCCTAAGACTGGCCTAATGAGGGGAAGGCTCACCTTACCCTTAAGCCCTAGGCAGGTATAGAAAGGTCCTCTACCTGGCTAGCTCTAGGGACTTGTGCAAAATTCAGGAGGCATCTTCATTAAGAGAATTTATTTTTAATTGCCATAAAGGCCTACAATGTGGGTCAAACCATTAACCAAAATTAACTTCACACTCTGTGTATATATATTTCTTTTATCATAGCTTTTAATCAACTTCTTTTTGTTCTGTTTTTTAAGTAGTTTTTATTGGAAAACAATGTTATAAGTGCAAAAATTTATGATGTAGAAAAATGTCTAATAAAGTTTTTTAATTATAAAATTTTGGACTAATGGTTGTTGACTGTTTGGACGAACTATTATCCAGCCTAACTTTTAAAGTTTCTATTGTCTTCCAAGCTAAACAATACTGGTAGTACTCTATTAAAGTGATTTTTTATGACATTTAGGCTCCTAAGTAACATAAAATTTGCTGCAGAGACAAGTTTACAATTCATAACAAATTTGTTATTCTTTTTTGAAATGTTAATTTTTTTCTCATCATGGTAGTGGTATTGTTCTATGATAATTTTTTTTTTTATTCTTCATAAAACTTAACTTTCCAGTGAATCCAAAAGATAATTTTCTTGTTGCTTGAAATTTTCTGATGCTTTATCTTTGCTTGAATCTTTGTAATCAGTTGAATATTTCTTTAAAGAAAAAGCTATTCAATGTTCAGTGACCACATTTAGCTCTTTCTAAGGCCTGCGACTGAGTGTAACGGAGCCCCTCTAAGCTGTTTACCTGAATTTTTTTAAGATTTCCTATTCTGAGTCGTTGAGGAAAGAACTTTCTGGCTGTTAAAAAATATTTATAGATACTTAACTTTAATGTAAATCTCTGACAGTCACTCTCCAAAATATTTATAAAATAATTTTATAAATTCTGAATAAGGGTAACATAATAACAAGTAAACCATGCTCGGGCCTGTAAGTTGTCTTTCCTATATCGGTCAATCTACGTTTGTTTCTTTATATCTTGCAACTTATTAGTGATATCGTTCTTATGTTTCTTTATATCTTGCAACTTATTATTGATATCGTTCTTATATGTTCATGTCTGGCTGGGTGATAACTATACAACTAGTGATAATAGTTTAAACTATTCTGTATTTTTCTACAGTGTATGTTTGTTTATATAATAAACCCTTTTTGAAAATATAGTATAGTGATTACTCTATTCTTCGCAGTAGGATCATTACATAAATTAACAGGATAGGTGGGCTGTTATTTAATCACTTGTAATTCAGTTTTGACCATATCAATTTTAATTTATATTACATGAAAACTATGCTCTTATTCATTCTGTTCTTTTTTTTTTTTTTTTAATTATGCTTAATTAATCCGAATTTTAATCCCTTAATGATTAGGAAAAAAGTAAAATTTATTCATTATTTATTTTCTGATATTTCTCTTACCTTTAAGCAATTATTGCTGAGAAGATCTATGTCACTTGTTTATTGCACTGTTCTGCTGATTAAAGGCTGCATTAAATTTTTATCATGAAGAATTGTATTCTATTCATTAGTTACCTGCTCTCTAAACTTGTGAAACATCCTGAAACAGTACATTTTATATCGCATTAAAATCATTTTGCTGTATCATATAAAGATTTTTTTTCTTTATGAAATGAAATCTATATAACATAATAGAGTTGAAAGATTCAATATTTTCATAATTATATTGAGGTAATCTCAGTTTTATTTAATTTATTATACTCAGTGCTTTAATTTATTATTCATAATAAAAATAGTTGATCATTGTTTATTGTAAATATCAAGCATTATTAATATACTAAAAATCTGTTATAATTTTACATTTATTTTATTTATAAATTTATCTATCATAAAAAAGTCAAATGAATAATGTATTTGTTTTAATTAACCAAAGCTTATCCAGGTTGTTACACTATTGTGAAGATAAGAGGAATATAAATTAAACTTTGTACCTTAGTTGTTTTCAACCAACAAATATAGATAGAAATATGTTTTTTATTACAATTTTCTTATGACTAATATATTGTATTCTAGTTCTTATTCCTGTTAGTTGATAACTGCTAACAAAGTTTTGTTATAATGTGTCCATCTAATATTGTTCAGTTTCTATCTAAAATTGTTTTGAATATTAATTCTGTCTATATGAAAATGTTATTTTATTAATGTTAATGTTAATTAAACTCTGGATAATTATTGCTTACTTTTGTTTTTATGATGTACATAGTGTTAAACAATTTAGTAATTGTTAAGCTGCTTCGATCCATTCCTACTGATTTTCTTTATAACTGCATGTTTTGTAAACTAAAACTAAAGCCTTATCAAATAAATCCAAAGTAAAGTTTTTTTTTTTACATTGTAAATTAACACTTTTGCAGAATATTTTAACGGCAGCTAAATACTAATGAGCTTATTTTTTGCTTGGCAAGCAGAAAGGGAGAGCTTTGCTTGATTATGCATTAATTGGCAGGCTGGATGTTGTGGTGGTGCAGATTCAGTTTAGCTACTGTAGCACCATGGCATTCAGCTTGCCAATATTGCCTCACTCACACTGCATGCAAACATCATGGTATGTATGTACAGACATGAAGCTTCACTAATATTATAAAATATCTTTTAATAGTTTTAAATTTATTGAACTAATTATATTTTTGGATTGTTGTGCAGGAGTGAACAGAATTTATAGCTAAATATATTGTTCCTTTTTATTTAATAAATATTTATCTATATATTACTTAAAGTATTATTTTTCTCTTTTAATTTCTAAGAAATAAATAAAGGATAACTTTTTTTTTTTTTTAACAAATATTTTTCCACTTAAAATACCATTCATTGTATTTTATCCAAATTTACATTAATATTTTAGTGTTCTTAATTTTAAAACAGATAATTCATATAGAGAATGCATGTTCAGTCCATTAATAGATTTTTTTTTGTAATTAAAAGTATGTTTGAATATGTTTTATTAAAAATGTTTAAGCATCATTTTATTTACTTATTTATTTATTTATTTTTTTGCCTCAGTCAACCATTTTTTACTCAAATGCCATTAAAGAGTATTAAAAGTTTATTGAAATTGTTATTATATATATTGCCTAGTAAGCATTATTGAATTAATATCCATCTTTCATTGTTACCAAAATGTAGTTTTAATTTATGTATTTCATAACTTTTCTCTTATTATTTAATAATCTTATTTTCAGGGTTTATTTATTTACCTTTTTATTGACAAACAGTTAAATTATATGTATATTATATTATTTAATAGAAAAAAAAAGTTTTGATGCAATAGTTACTCAATTTTTTAAAACTTGGTATATTTTTCACACCTTTTAGATATAATTAGTGAAAAGTAGTCACTAGATATTTTATCCAGGATAACACTGCTTTTTTTATTTTATTTTTTTCCTTTCTCGCCTTTTAGGCTATACAGGGATTTTCCTGGACCATGGGGTGAGGGCAGGGGGTTAATGCCAAGTTAAAAGACCTTAGCACCGGGACGCGAACTCACAATTATTTTATCGTTTATAACTTTGGTTATCAAATTGCCGGCACACACGCACACCCAAGATATCTGTGTGGTAATGGCAGCACAAATTATTTTTATTTAACTTGCCTTAAATCTTCCTGTAATCACTTTAGTTATTTAATTCATTCCCCAGAAAAAATTTATGAAGAAACACAATTTTATTTGCTCATTAAAAAATATACATGTTTGGGTTAATCATATAAGGTAATTAAATGTCCTAAAAAAAAAGAAGAAAATTATTGGAAATCGGTTCAGTAACATCATCCAAAGATATGGTTTATTTAACTTTGTACACGTACTTTAAAAAGTATTCTGCATAGCCAGGTTAGGCTCAGATACCACTCCGATAACACATGAAGCTATATGTGAAATAAATCTAATTACTGCCAGAAAGAGAATCAGGATGATAAATTTATTGTGATGTGTTTAAGCGAAACAACCTTCACATCGTTTGTCGGTGTGACAGGTTTGCTAGTCTTAAGACTCTAGACCCCAAAAGCTATGAATTTGTCTACCCTCTAAGCCTATTAAGGAAGCGACTATACTAACTTTTTAATAAAGCGACTTACAACATGCGCACAATAAACCTCTAAGATCATGGTGCATCTTGCCACAAAAAACAAAGTCTGCATATATGCTCATTTATAAGATAATTAAATTATTTACAAAGCAAAATATTTAAAGGGGGGAAAAGAAAAGGAAATTAGCTTTGTAGACTTAGTCTTAAGTAGGCCAATAATAATTAGTGAAGATATTGAACAATTTTTATCGGACATTCTCCAAAGAGATCAGAAAAGTCGTAACTGTTTGGAAATGATAAAACATTAATTTATTTGTTTTCTTTTTACTTTGGGTTACTAAGAATACGTCAATGGCCAAATTAAAAACACCACAGTAAGTTTTAGTTAGATGATAACAATGGAAAAATAGAATAAAATATACAATTAAGTTCTGAATGTTGATACAGTAGTTTGTTGGAGTGTCCTGTTCCATTTTCTAAAAGAGTGGGAGCAATTGATCATCCCTTATTTGGGTTTTTGTCAAATATCTTTGTAACTATAAGCTTCAGGAAAAGATACCTGTGTAAAAAGTTAAACTACACATTTCATTCATCTTTCTTATTGAAAATGTGTAGTTAATTTTTACTTTCACTTACTTATGTATGTAATATATAGTAAGGGTAAGTATTGCGATCGTGAAAAGTTTTGATTCTGAGTTTTCAACGGAAATACATGTTTTGGGGTACCCTGAACTAAATAACCAAGTCCCGAAAAATGGTCTGTGTGTTAGCAGTCTAGCTCAAAAACGAAAAGTCGTACGGAACTGATATTAGGTATTTAAGATAGGTATATGCCTTAGATGTGGTAGCAACTTTTTCCTTAAAATCGGCTTACCGGAAGTTCCACTTTATATCAATGCTGAAACACATTTTTACAATTTTCTCTAACGATTTTGATTAAACTCGTATCATTGCATAATCAAATGGTCTTTAATATCAATCAGGTCTTATCCCCATTGATGTCACTTTACAGGACTAAATGCCCAATGTTCATATGCGTCTTCTTCTACAGTACCTTTAATATGGTTTATTTTAAAAAGTTCATCATCTCACATTATTCAGAGTTATGAAAAAATGCTAAATATAAAGTTTGAAAGAATTTGATAATTGGATAAAGGAGAAAAAAAAAATGCTTATCCAAGTCTAAAATGGCTCTCCGGAAATACTAGTCAGAAGGTATATATTATATTGTTGGAAAGCTGAGGATTTTAGAAAAAGCAATATCTAATATAGAAAGTTTAAGAGTGGCAAAACAATTATAAATAATCACGCGTTTTTAAGAAAATTAAATGAAATTTACTAACTAAATGTAAACTTTTAAAATATTTTATAAGTTTGAAAAAAGTATTTAAAATCCATCTAATCAAGGCAATGACATTGTTTGAAACACTATTTTATTGTACTTGTGTGAAAGAAGAAGTAAAATATAAAATCATTTAGCATATGTTCATAACCTTAAATACATTTACCTGTAGTTTAATAATTCTAGATCTGATATTATATTTAAAAATTTAGGTATTAATTATCCATTTATTCCGAAAAATCATCTTGCAACTTTTATAAAATTAAATTAATGAATAGTTTGATGAAATTTCTTTTGTGATATTCCAACAGTATCCACTTACAATTAGTGTGACAACTTGTCTATGAAAGACAATGAAAATCTCTTAATAATTATTTTAATAACTAATAGTCGTACAATCCATAATCAACTGCTGATATAATAAATAGAACTTTTATTATTTTAATGTTATTTATGATTTGTTAGCTGTATTTTTTTAGCTTTAGCTCAGTTAAAAATTCAATTCAAAAATTTTATAATAGCCCAACATGGCCAGAAAATAATTTCTATTCAAAATTGAGGGTTGATGGTTGACTGTCATGAATAATGAAGAGTAGGATGGTTGGAGTGATCACAGTCAGAAATAGAAAGGCCAAAATAAATAATAATATTTATTTTAACATTTGCCGACGTTTCGTCCTGAAGTTCAGGCCTTCATCAGGGGTTGTTCGAATAGAGTGATATTTTTAATGTTAAAATAAATATTATTATGTATTTTTACCTTTTTATTTCCGACTGATCACCCCACCCATCCTTTTCTTCAATTTCTATTCAAAGTTGAGTGGTAAGTGAAAGTTGTGTGTTGCCTGCACCAAATTTTTTTTTTTTATATGAAGTACATTTGCTGAAGGATAGTTCGCGAAATATTTGAGAAAAACTCCAAAAAAAGGACATCCAAACTGTTCCCCCATCGCTACTTAGAAAGTTATCTAACGACTAACTATTCAAAAATTCAAAGCTTCATAAATTGTTTTTTCTTATCAACGATACTTGGTATTTGTTGCCTGGGTTATTTAGGGTCTTATTCGGTTTTACTGCTGATGATTCAATGGAAGTATGTGTGTCATCTTCATCAATGGTTCCATCGACAGAAATGTTTATGCACATACTTCCAATGTAAAGAAGGTCCACATGGTTAGACAGAAACATTGGGATTAAAATAAATTAAACCAAAAATTGTTTTGTTTTGCTGTTGACCATTGATTAATCCCCAGCCACGCAGCATGTAATGAAATGACTGATGGCAATCTAATTCGATTCAATTTTTTGCAGTAATACTAAAACTTAAGTTGTCAAAATTCAAATATCACAAACTTGGATTGGAATAGTAATGATAATGCAAACACACAGAACTCTAGTAGACATTAGTGATAAAACCAGCTCAATGACAGTTGGAGCTATTTGTCCAATCTTTTTATTGCCAACATTACGTAGTTAAAGCATAACTTTAATTTTAAAGTCTTTGCATTGACAAGGTTTATTTAATTCTCTTCCATTTCCGCCAATACTAGGACTTTTTTGTTAATATTTTACAATTGTATGGTTTCAAGTCCTCTCCTGAGCTTTTATAAAGAAGAAATTGGGATTGCGGTTATCTTTTGAAGAAATTATAGAATTCAAGGGCATCTTTGAATCATTAATAAAAAATATTGATTCTGCCAGACATATCTGTCCAACTATTCTTATTATTTAACAACGATTACCTATATTTATTTCTGTTTATGTTCTACACCATTATGTTGTATGTTCTTCTGTAAATTTGGTTAATATTCTTAAGCAATATAGTTCAGTTAATAAGTTATTTCGAATTTAGTATTTCTTGTATAGACAAAAATGAATGAATTTATGTTTATGTTACTGTTGTCTATTAAAAATATAGTTATGTACCAATGGTTTTTTATTTCAGAACCAGACCTTGATAGTTCTCTGTGTGAAGATGACGAGCTTTTCTTACGCTTTGAACCTCCAATATCAAGCTCAGATTACCTCTACGGTCTTGAACCTGATGAGGGTTTAGGAGATCTCTTTGGCTTAAATTCCTCATTTATTTGAGTCACAGTTAATAGTACAAATATAAGATGATTCATATGTTATTGTAAATAAAACAATGTATATATATAAAGTAATAACAATCCAAGTACATTTTTTAACTTTTATTATTTAATAATCTATTCTTAGATTGTTAAGTTTTACTATTATGGCCATTCTTATTTTTATTATTTTAATGTTGTTAAGGTTCTTATTTTATTATTTTTAAAGGCCATATTACATACCTTTTTTTTTAATTATAATTTAAAAAGTGTTTGAATTAGATTTTAATTTATTAAGTATGGCTGATATCTTTCTATTATACGCATTTTGAAAGTAAAATACCAATCAGTGCCTATTTTTATGTAAATGTAAGTTAATTAAGATAGAAGTCTTAAATAGAATACAAAAGACTATGTAAATATGAAGTTTCTTATTGTTGTTTTTAGTGATATAGAGGCAGTTGTGTCAGTTTATAAAATTGCTATTATATATTGAAAATTATTTATTAGATCCAAGGATCATATCTCTCACCCAGTTAGTGTGTTTATTTGAAGGATTAAAAAAAAAGTGGAATCTTTATATTAAGTTACATTGTTTTAACTGCTTTACCTTCTCATCATTCTGAATTTTCCACTTTATTACTTAAAAATATTTTCATGGAATATTCTGTGGTGATTAGGTTTTGTTGATTTAATTCAATAAAAATGTTTCATTTATGGCATTAAATTAAAAATATAAAACAAAAAAAAACTTCTATTTATTAGGGCTTCATTCCTGCAGTAAGCAGTTGATCTTTATTTACCATAATTGGTGCTGATTTCTTTCTTGCAGTGAAAAACTGAAAAGAAACAAAATAAATGTTTTACTTTGTTATGTTTCAAATTTTTATGATGCAGTTTTATTTCCAGGAATTTAAATGGACTGCAGGTGTATTTTTTTACCATCTCCCCACAGTCTAACATGTAATCAGTAGTTATTTTTGGGGATTGTTTTAATTTTTCTTTGTTCTGTGATTATATGGTTTATTTTATTTATTTATTATTATTGGTATTTATTTATCTCTAATGTACTGCTTTAAGTATTAAACTGTAGAATAACCTACTGAAATTGTTTATTAACAAAGTTTTTTTTTTTTTTGCATGCAGATGCTAACAATCTATGTGAATTATCACTTCCATATTCTTTTTCTGGATAAATTATAAGAGTAATCAAAATAAAAAAATTCAAAAGTCTTTGTCCCATCAGACACTGTTTTTTATTTTTATTTCTTTTTCTCTTACCTTGTTTGAAACTAATTGAAATAATGTTTAAATGAGATGTGAGACCTTTTCACTTATAATAAATAAAATTCATGCCATGACTGGTAGTTTTAACATCAGAAATTAAAATACACCTGCCTCTTAAGAAATATATCTCATCCTCCCTGTTCTATGGTTAGTTTTATTGGCATTTCATTTTTCCTGTTCAAACAGAATGAAGTGCATAGTTATACACTAATTAGCTAAGCACTGTTTTACGGCGACCACATTGAAGCACTAATACTAACAAAATCGACTAAGTTTAAATGTTAAGTGTTATTCAATTGTCAACTTCCATTAATACTAGTCACATCAGTTTCTCTACTTACGAAACAGTTCTGTAGAGATGATTGCTATACTTATGTATAACCATTGCTCATTTTAGTTATGACACATTAAAGTCCTGACTTTAAAAACTTATTTATTGTTAATATTTACTTATTTTTATTAATGGAATGATTTTACCAATTTTTTTTTCCAAGTCATGTGTAACATTATATTCATCTTAAAATAAAACACTTGCAGGTTAAAAATCAAGAATTTTTATATATATAATGAAATCAAATTGTATAAATTATTAATATATATATTGTACATCACAACAGTATATTTTAACTTTTTATATTATATGTAAATGAATATTTCAAATAAATATGTATGAAAATAACATATCTTTTGCAGTAATACACATAAAGCCTTAGTTTTTTATTTGAGCTGGTAATACTTACCTTTTGAATAATGGGTGAACCTTTTTCGCATTGAAATTTTGGATTTTTTTATGACTAAACCTTGGGCTACAAATATAAAACTTTCAAAAATATAACTCAGGTTTCTTTTAAAGGGCATTAGATCTTTTGAATTTTCTATGTTAATCGAAATATCTTCATGTTCGAGTTTGGAATTTTATGTCTGTCAAAATGTAATACTATGTAATTTTCTCAAATAAAAATAACATTTAATATAAAACAAAAAAGAAATATGGAATGTTTAATAAAATCATTGAAAAAAAAGTGAAAAATTCCAATATTAGAATGATTTTCACAGATACACTCAGCTTTCCAGATTTTATCAATGGCTCTTGATGCTAACATTAAAGATTAAAGACTGAAGTGGATAATAAAGTAGTGAAATATAATAATTAAGGTAGCATAATTCAGAGAATTATAAAAATGCCAGAACAACGGATTTGTCCTTCGACTTGTTAATTGATAATAATGCTAATTTAAATATATATCAAAGCTACCATGCCTACAAGTTTAAATTAGTTTAGTTTTAAGAGGATTAATTAATTTTTAAATTGAAACATGTATAATTTTTATAAAAGTTTGTTCAAGTACTATTTCATACTACTCTAGGTATATGTACACTTGGGATGTTAAGACATCGTTTTGGCTTTCATTTTATAACTTTTTTACTATTTTCTTGAAAACAGCTCTTTGGTTAAACTCATATCAATGAAAAACCCAATTGTCTTTATTATCAACTATATATTAAAGACTTGATTTCAGCCATCTTATCAGTGTCGGATTTATGTACTTTTAGACCATTCATTTGCCTGAGGTGGCAAAATTTGAATGAAACTTTAATTATTAGTTTCAAATGAATCTTTAAATATTAAAAAAATAGCTCAATCAAGCGTATTTACATATAATAATTATCTCTACTTAAGTTTAACTGGAAACAATATTTTTGCAGATAATATGCTTATCACCTATGGGTGATATCAAGAAATCCTAAAACAAATCCACTTTTGGGTCTTAGCCTTATTAAAGTAGTCTGACAAACCTTAAAGGCATATATCTTCCAAATGGCTTTCCCTGAAATATCTTTAATTTTGTTTATTTTAAATAATTAACCATCTCTCATTTTTAGTAAGAAAAAAAAAGTATAAATTTGATCTATATAGTATAAATATAGATATAAATATGATCTATAAATAAATCTCTAATATGATCTATAAATATAGATTAAATATGATCTCAAAGTATAAATTTGATCTATAAAAGTATAAATATAAAGTATAAATTTGATCTATGAAAGAATTTTATAATAAACTTTTGAGGAGAAAAAGTTTCATATATTTATATATACAGCCAAAGAGATCGGCTATGGAGCTACGGTTGGCCTGCCGCTGCACTATGGTAACCATGGTTCGTAGTAACGTGAGGTTGGGTGACCCTCTCCAGGCTATCCGAGCTACTGCAAGCAACATACGTCTGTAAGGAGACCACATCTCGCGGCCAAAGATCTTCATGGTCTAGTGGCAACAAAAAAAAAGTATACATATTATTCTATGTTAAAAATAAGGTTCCAGGAATAAGAGTAGTCAAATAGATTTAATTGAAGCAATAGAAGTTAAAAAAAAAAATTATATTTAATTTACAGGATAGTGGAAAATGATGAATTGATGACTAACAATATTTGTCGTTAATGTCTACTTTTGTATAATTGAATGGAGTTCTCATGTAAACTTTTAAAATCAATTTTCAGCTCAACTAAACAAAAATATATGGTGCATAAAAGTCATATTTTGTACTAATACTATTTTCTACTGTAGATACTAGATTGCTAAGTGAGTTGTTTGATGCACCACAAATTATTTTAATTACTTCATGATTTTTTGAATTAGTGGTCAGACTTTTTTTGTGACAAAACTAAAAATTTGAACTGTGAATGTTCCCATTTTTCTAAGAAATTTCTAGTTTTTTTCATATCAACTCATCCCAAGAAATGGTTTGTGTTTATAATAAAAGAAAATATAATGAGTTAAATTTTGAACAAATATTAAAAATAAAATTAGGTTACTACCTTATATTTACAATGAAAAAAACGATTATCATTTTGTGTTGGAATTGTGTACTGAAATATAATATTCATTTGACAGTATATTAATGAGGACTGAGAAATTGAATTTGCCACACAGTTGCCAGAGTGAAGGTAAAGAGTTGATCACAAATCACTAGCAGATCCAGGATTTAATTTTGGTGGGGACTTTTTTTTTTTTCATATGTATAATGATAATTACTTTAGAAAAAAAGAAAGAAACTAACTATCTATATGAAATAGTTTTTAAGTGATTCTTGAAGTCACATTAAATGTAATTACACAAAAAATGATACTTTAAGAGATAAATTTTTAATATTTTTTACCATAAAACATGGTTACATTTTACCATTTGGGAGATACTTTAGCCCAAATTCCCCCCCCCCCCTGAGTAGAATTTGGCTCATTTTTGGACCAAGGGAGTTAACTACCACTCTGATTTTAACCATCATTTAACTTTCTGATATCTTAAAGTAATCTTCTATTCCCTTTTTAAATTAAATAAATACAATGTATTAAATCCCCATATTACATAAAAGTCTTCAAACTAGTATTACGAAAAATAAATGTGGAATTAATATTTATTAACTTAAGTAATCTAGATTTGTTGAAAGTCTATGTAGATTGTTTTCAAATTATATATTATACATTTGATTTTTCCTTTTATGCCTTAAAATTCTTTGCTATATCGTTTTTTGATGTTTCTGTTGGTCAGCGTGGAATTTCCATTTGCTAAGATTATAATGAGTGCTAACTGATGCAGTTCTATTAAATTATTTTTGCTAGTGCTTGCAATCTGAAACAAGCTATGAGGAGTGGGGATGTCCCATTGTTCTTAAATTACAGGATATTTAGTAAATTATTTTCTTTCTAGCCAATCATTAAATTTTAAAATACAACTCTTGTTTATTTTCTTTACATAAATAAGGTAATTAAACATATTGATAAAACCCATTGATTTAGTATATTAATAAAAATGAGAACTAGTTTTGATAACTGGGTTGATGTCCTTTTTTGCTCTCTAACTTCATATGCTACAATATGGGTTTCCTACAGAATACCATAAATATATCATAAACCATAATCATTATAAGAAGTTAGATGTGTAGGATTGTTGGAAAAATATCAAAATATTGATATTTATCGATATTAAAATTTGGCTATGGAAAACTAATATTTTTCAAAAAAAAAAAAATTGAAAGATCTAACAAAGAAAGCCATCTTATTGGTTATCATATAGATATGAGACAATTCAAAACACAATAAATGATAAATATTAGCTTAATTAGTTTGTTTTTATATCTTAGTAATGAGTTTTTTTTTTCTTATAAAGAAACTGTATCTTATATTATTAATTCAATTTTGATTTTCTTCACCTTTTCATCTTATGCAATTTTATTATTCTCTAGTTCTTAATAACATGTCTTTTATATAATAAATGTTGATTTTGTTTTAGGTTTTTATTAATTCATTTAATACAGATTTACTTTCAACCATTTTATTTATTTACTTTTTATGTTTAAGTTAAATGATTGATTTATTTTCTTACTCCTAATAAGAATTTTTTTTTTAATTTGTCAAACATAAGATGAAATCCATTTTTTTATGATAGACAATACATAAATACAATACAATTTTAACTTCAATTCATTGTTAATGCTGTTCCTCTGCTTTGAAAGATTAAAAACGTAGGAGCCTGAAATAAAGATAGTTTTATTGACATTTCGATATTCTTCATAACTATTGATATTATTTTTCGATATTTACATCTCTTTAATCTCTTTAATACAGCATCAACGCATGGCCAGAAAGCAGTGGTTTGATGTTGAATGTTGAGAAGACCAAAGCTATTCCCATTGGGTCCAAGCATCTTATAAATTCCCCCCCCTTATTATCTCCTACTCTACATAAATGGACAACCTATTCACTTCCGTTAGAAACCTTGGGGTAATTTTTGATAATAACCATATTTCCCAAATTAGCCAAAAATCTATTTCTACCTTCAAACAATTCCAGATATTTCCTGATTCTATGCCCACTAAAGCCACCAGTTCCTTGTTTCCTCTCACATTTTTCCCCATTTCGATTATGGCTGCCTTAAATATGATGGACTGTCTGGTGGTCTTGAAATCAGATTGAAGGATTAATGTATTGTTTCATTAGAGTCATCTTTGGAGTCCCCAAATATTCCTACGTCTGCAGTTGGTATGCGGAGTTGAAGTTGCTCCATTCAGTTTTCTGATGGCAATATTTCTTAGGTGCAGTACCAGCCTTATACATTCAGCACCCCGGCCAATGACGTTGTTGGAGCAAAATTTCAATTGTAAATAAAAATATCCAAAAGTTTTACTTAAAAAAAAGTATGATGGATTTATTTGGTTAAGAAATATTGTAATTATTTCAGCTCTTTAGGATTTGGGCTCATTACTCGCTTTTATATATTTATACGTTGATACTTTACAACAAACCTTTTCTTTTCTATTCTAACAAAACATTTATTTTTATTGGGCATCCAATCTTCCCTGCTCCAAACAGTTCTTTGAAAGGAATATCAAGAGAATTTAACCATATCGGCAACGTATAAATCCTTGCATGTACTTCTCTTTCTTCCTTGCCAGCAGAGAGCTGGAGGTTTGTTCTTTTTCTTCAGCCACCATTAACATACGAAGATCTTTCGTTCAAACCTGGACAGTTTCAGTTAATGAGTTCTTTTAAGAGTCCAGGTTTCGGAGCCTGAATTAAAGCAGGTCAATTCAAAGTTTTATATATTCTGACCTTTGTGGATTTCGACAGTTGCTAGACCGGAGTTGCTTTTAAAATGCGAAGGAACACCAATTAGCAGCACTATCGGATCCAGGATTTAATTTTAGGGGG